ATTCACATAGATGTATTTTCAATTTGAATTTTTGCACAATTCCAATCACAATACCCCACATAAACAACAAAACCTAAATCAATTATACTTATTCCCTGCGGTCTGGAGACCGCAGGGTATTGGTACGCGTTTAACTTTTGAGGCATGGAGGAGCACGTGACCTGTTTTCGGTACATGGAGGAGCATGTGATTTGTAAACCGTACACGATTGGTTAATTGACCTTTTTGAAAACCTGGCTAAATACCGTTTGTCGGTACGTTACGGAATTACCTCTAGGGAATTAGCCAGAATTACACCTAATTAAGAACAAAAAACTATTACGTGATATTTCTAATTTTTATAATTATTTTACCGTTTAAGGTGGAAAAACTTGAATGATGTATTTGAAAATTATCTTTGTATCTCAAATTTCACAAACAATAAATTTATACTGAAAATCTACAAAATTAAAATATTCGTAGTGACATCTGCCATAATAAATAGAGATATTTTCTGCGTAAACTTGTGTGTTTACTTTATTTTATTTTTTGCTTAGAATTATTCGTAAAATGGTAGGCTTATTTAATCATTTTCTTAAAAAGAAATACATGTAATTGTTTTATGTTCGACCATCTCCGGTCATCAACGGTCACCAGTTTCCAAAGACCTTCTTCTATTTTGATCGATTATTGTCAACTATATTCCTGATACAAACGTTTATTTATTCCCCTCTCCCAAAACAATGTTGAAAATAGTTAAATGAAATATCTTTATAATAGTTTATATTATTCCCCGCAGGAAACCTTTTTACTTGTCATTGACTTACCTGTGATGATATAGAAACTATCCGGACTTAAACGAACTCCACACATACCTACGTCCACATATGTATACAGTTTATCACTAATCACATTTCCACTTGGAGCCTGGACCATAATATAAAAGCGATTTAAAATGTATATCTAAAATACATTTGATTAAATACTCAACTTTTTCTTATATTACAGTTACCTTATGAAAAACTTTTTTCCCAGATCACTAACTAGAAACGACAAAAATGTGTATTTTGACATTTCCAGAGTATCATATTTCATGATTTGTTCCTGTTGTTTCTCGCATCAGTTATTGTTGACATCATACATTTTGTTCATCTTAGTGTCTTTATAGATATTAATGTTTCATTTAGACATTATTTCATGTGTATCATATATTTCATTAACATTTGTGGTAACAATAAAGATAATTTGACATTAGGCATGCTCACGTCTCAATTATCCGATATGCTCCAGTACATTGGCAACATTTGTAACAGAACTGCAATCCAATAAAATCAATAGTGGTACAGTTGCGATTAATACACTTGCCGCTAGCTATAATGTTTAATTATCATTTTTAGAATAAATAAAATATCATATTATAACACTTATAACATAAGTGTCTAAATAATAATTACCTTAAATACATATTTGTACAGAATATCAACATCATAGGCCAGTTGTATACCGACAACAGTACCATTGCTTTTGATTTTAAACACAGCAGCTAAAATAATCAAGCATTGTTGGCAGTAATAAAATAACGATAGTATGAGTATAAGCATGAAAATCTTTGAATATTTTGACATAATTTTGTAAAATAACTATAAAATTATTCAATTAATGAGATTGTTTAACGCTATATACTTTACATAAGACTTTAACTTCTATGCAGTGTAAAAATAACGTATTAACGCACCAAATCCTGAAGTTCTAGCACAGTAATCTATCTCTGGATCAAATGGGGCACATGAACATTCATGAACATATGCGAATGTACTGCTTATGACAAAACTCACCAAATATAATAACATCTTGGAAATATGAAAAAGACAATGTTAAGAATAATAATAAGACATTCATATCAATTATTTATCTGAACATTTATTACGTTCTTTTTTTGACAGTGATTTTTTAAAAACATTATCTGTTGATATCAAACTAATAAAATGAAGTATTTACACAAAGGCTGTAATTCTTTAAAAAAAAAAAAAAAAAAAAAAAAAAACAGTAGCTATTTTGGCAGTTTACTTACACTTATTCATTCAAAGGAATGATAGAAATAATATCTGTATGAAATCTCTTGTTGGTCTGAAAAGTATTAACGGTATAAGAGAAAATAGGTATCATTTTTATCAAGATCCATGTACTCACCTTAGCATCTGTTCAATGTAGAATCCAATCTAAATCTAAAGTTATTACTCACATTGAAATTGCATTTGCCTTTTCCTTTTAATTAAATCGCAATTTCAAATCCATGATTAAACACAAAAAAAAATTCAAACTTAAAAATAAAAGAAAAAACCAAGGGCATTGTTTTCATATAATATTATTTAATTATATATCAAGTTTGATGCACAAAAAGTGCAATAATGATAACATTTGAATTTGAGAATTTAAAACAAAGACTAGACAGGTGGCGTTGTTTTCAAATAATTTCCAAGCATTATTTAATTAAATATTAGGCATTCGATAGTTTCTGATATATACTTATACAATTACAGAGCCATTTGGAAGGTTGATTAATTTTATGATAAATAATAAATGCTCTCAGCTTTAAATTATAGGTCACACACACTTTCAATTCATATTTCATTTGCATATTTCAACATGCTTACGAAGATTTGCAGATTATCTTATACCTGGAAGTAAAATAATATTACATTTGTGTCATTATGTTTAATTAGTAATAGAAAGAGCACCGAAACACGAGGCTATCTGATTTGTACGAGGGGGCGTAGCCCCCGAGTATAAATCAGATTGCCGAGTGTTTTGGTGTTCTTTCTCTTTTGTATCATAGTCAAATATAAAAACACGTTCCCTGTATCACAATATGAAACCCCGGCAAAAATGAACCAATGAACGAACATCTGGATATGACATTTCTGTCGCTTTCCCTTTCTCTGCCGTCACAATATGTAAACCCCAGCAAAAATGAGCCAATCAATGGGCATGCTCTGGAGTGCGGGTAACTAATACCCGCACTCCAGTTAACGTTCTGTACATGTATATGTATACGATTTAACCCTGACACATTTTCAACAGAAAGGTCTCCAAACTATGATACAATTCATAGATAACCATTATAAAACCTTGGAAATAAATGTCTCGCTCACTATCGCCATGGTTTCACGGGTCTTTTATGATCTCTTAATGATCTATTAACTACGCAATTAAACCTGAAAAACAGCGGATATTAATTCACGGTCTCCTTGTACGTTATAATGGTTCAGGAATTTACAACAGAAATAGACATTATGGTAACATTAGTATTTGATTAAAAATAGTGAAAGCTTTAGAAGGAAATTAAAAAGGGTCCGATTTCACATTAACGTTTTTCTCTATTTATTCTTATAATCAGGTTAAAAGTAGATATTGTTTTAGATACAGGTGTTGTGGATTCATGAAAACAGAGCTTCAAAACATTTCGGAATGAAAATCTGTAATAATTTGTTATAGCTTACAAGAATAAAAATGCTTCTGGGACAAACCTGCGACTGGAAGAACTGATATGTATTTGAGATGTCCAAAAAGCCAAAAACCTATGAAAGAAAACAAAAGGTAAAAAAAAAAGAATGTCAAGGAAAATTACAAAGGAGACGTGTGCCCCGTCTAAGTACTGACAGCGACCAAATCAAAGTCATACAAGTCTCCTGGTGATTTAAAGTGTAAGAAGCGGAAATGCAGAAAGTGAAAATGCAACTCGAAAAATATAATAAACGATAAATCAATGGAACTATTAAAATAAAAGCCACAGAGTATACTAAGATTATGAATCGGAAAAACTAATATAATGCCGAACCTGAGCAAAGTGAAAATAAACTGAGCAAAGAAACTCTTTCAAAGATACATGCCAGGATAGCGCCTGAAATAGATGATAAGCGAAAACGATACAAAAATCCATATATACATAATACATCAACAAGGATTTAACCGTACAAGTGTATGTACAGACACATGGTACAAAGAGATGAATTTAATCAATTGGACATGTTGGTTCGACAGAAAAATGTTTCAATAAAAGGGCAAACATCGATGAATATACAAAAATGGTATTACCTAATCGACCAAGATATTTCATTAAGATGAAATAGTGGAAGAATGTTCATTGTTTTTGTTTTAAAATGTATTTTATGACGTATGGAAAAAATAGAGAAAACTGAAAGTTCATGTTTGTATCAATATTTGATAAACATGTTGCATCCCGTAACAGAATGCCTTCGTTTAAAACTTTTGTATCTGCCACGTGTTATGTGAGTGTATGGCGATGGGTACATTGTATATTTATTGGCCATATAAGAGAAACTTGTCACTTGAACGTATGAACCAGCAAATAAATAGCGAGAAAGTATGACCTGATTTCTTTTATTATTATGTATCCATAAAATGATAATATTGTGGAATGTGGTGAGCATGAGTGTATTTTTTAAAACAAACTTTAAATTATTCTTTGAATTATGTCAAAATGAAATTTTCATCAATATTGTTTGTGGTTTCCCAGGTGCTATATTCACCTTAGAATGTCTTTAAATGTTGAAAAAAAGGAAAAAATTGCAAACAATTTAATGCATAAAATTTAATGAAAAAACGTACCTTACGATTGTGAATTTTTGTGTAAAAGTCAAACTGATGAATTAGGTTTAAATGACATCCTGATGACCTTCAACTAGCACAGCTACTTTAAACGAAGTTGTGTCAGAAAATACTACTCTGTGATATTTTTAATTCAAAAAGTGGGGAAATATATCCTTAAACATGAAAAAAAAATAAATGCAATAATTCAGAATTGATTGTAAATGTTGTAGATATAAATAAATATGTTGCAATTAATATTTTAGAATATATTGATAAAAATAATGGTAAATGGTTATTAAGCATAAAATATGATTTTCTGTAAAGACATTTTATTCGTGTATGTTTTCCATGTCTATGCTGTCATAATTTATATACGTGCTAAAATCTGACGAAATTGCGATTGCATTTGACCGCTTAAACTAACGAACGAACACTCAAAGCGTTCGTTTTTGACATGCCTTATCGGTTTGTTAAAGTTTCCTACGGACTATCATTTGGTGCACCGATACGTATAGTACACACAAGCACGAAATGACCAGTGACAAGTTTCTACTAGTTTGTTCATTAAGCGTATTTTTGTACGCAGGGTTTGCATTTGCATCTAAAAAGAAAGGTGTCGTTGGGTGGGCTTCAGGACTATTGTGTGACGATTTTAAAAATCTCAATAATATCGCTTGGTGGTAGGTAAAGTTTATATTTATTTTGCATATTATTTTCTTTTATTTTATTCCTTTAATTTTCTTTCACATTAAAGGTTCAGTACGCATATGACTAGTACTAATATTATCACACTACATCATTATATTTATCTCCGTTGTTACATCTTTACCTGTAGATTCTTTACAGTTAAGTCGTTATTTAAGATATTGAAAACACAATAAAAAGAATCAAGGTCGTGACTGACCACGTAATATTTCTTTGATATTTTCCAGGTATGACTATAAAAACGACCTCACTACTTACCACCAGACTGTGACTCAGGCATGTCCTCACTCCTTTCATTACATGCCTGAATTTATTCCAACAATTTGGAAATCTAAATGGAATGGCGCAATACACATGAATATTTCAAGCAGCGCACCGTATGTTATGGTTTTGAACGAACCCGACCAAGCCGTCCAAACAAACATGTCTGCCCAGCAAGTAGCTGATCTTTGGCCAGAAATTGAAAAACATTCTCATGGAAAACCAATTCTAAGTCCTGCCCCGGCACATCATAACTTTCAGTGGTTGGATGAGTTCTTTCATGTATGCAATGGTTGTCGTATTGACTATGTAGCTGCGCATGCGTATAGCTGTAATGCCAATCACATCATGTCGTATTTGGAAAAGCTGTATCATAGATACAACAAGAAAATTTGGCTCACCGAGTTTGCCTGCCCGAACTCTTCAGACGAACACCAACAACTACATTTAATGAGAAATCTGTTACCAAAACTTGAGGCGGCGCCTTACGTGCTAAGGTAAAATAATTAAGTCTTGATGATCTTGTTTGTCATAATTTGTACAGTGACAATGAAGCAATCGACAATAGCACCGTACATATCACTGTTGCTCACATCATTTAGTTTGTTTTATGGCAAAACTTTATACAAGAACCTTTGGTAATGGAATGAAAAAAGCGTTTTGTGAAACACTTCTGCAGATGTTTCTAAATTCAGAATTTTAAAATTTCATTAAGAACGTTAAATTAAGCTTTAACCTGTGCTAGGGACCGCGGACGGTATCTTCAATGTCCAGTTTCGCCCATGAACATAATCAAACTCATCTTCAGTATTATGCCATTTGGAAGTTCTTCACGGATGCCTTTTTCTATCCTTTCATAAAAATATTTACTTGTTCTCTGATGATAATTATATTGATAAATTTTGATATTAAATAAGGTCTAACAAGTAGATGTATGATTACAGCCCTGATAACCTTATATCTCATATATTTATATTGTCATGTTTAGGAATATATCTCATTAGGTAATGAGAATGTTTATGGTATTTCAAGATAGTAAAGCAAGTTAAAAATATTATATAAGAAAACACTTTCTTCTATGAAAGCTATATAGTCTATTTAAACTTAAAAGATACGAAGCTTCTTTTCATCATACGTCAGATTCTATAGATTTTCCATTTAACTATTCAGACGTTTTCAAAATTGGAACCGAATGCCGATTATCAAAATGATGTTATCATTCATGATGTCATACAAATTGTCATCAAAACAAACGAATATCCTCTGATATTTTTTCAATATCTCATCTTATAACGTAAACAATAAGAACCTTTCATTTTGTTACAGGTATTCTTGGTTTATGGCGAGAGTTAAGCGAATATTTGGTGGTGGATTCATAAATCCTGCCGCCAGTCTTTTGCACAATAATTCTTCCACTCTCACGATGATCGGACACTACTACAATAACTTTAATGGGAACGGTCATTCCTCACACATTGTTGGTTAATTAGTTCATTTTCTTGAAAAAAGTGTTGAATAAACGCATCTTATCAACTGTTTTATGATACATTTCACGTTAATTTACAACTAATATAAAACATTATTCAGCTTTTGGGACTGAAGATCTTTATAAAGCAGACATACAAGCAGGCAATATATTGTTTTAATTCAGGGAAATAAATGGAAAAAGTCATCTCCTTCATTTTACAAATGTGGTGCAAAAAGTTTAGATATTGACATAAACGATAACATGCTATAAATTGCAAGATTTATCGCATGAAATATATTTTTGCTTTGTTTTTATTTCTTAAAAAGAATAAAAGTTTTATCAGTCAATTGATATCTAGATCAAGGAGCGAGAGTTAGCTTGTATGCCGACTGTACTTGAAACAAACGGGAAATAATGCCTCAAAAAGACCGAAAAGTTGTTCCGAGGATTGCATCCGAACATGGGTAAAATCTGATTTAAAACATAAGATAAATGAAATTAATTTCGAAACAAGGTAGTCAATAAAATTGAGTTAATACTAGAATATATTTAGTCACTGTGTCCACTTCACCACACCATTATGACAATATACGTAGAAGTACTGGTGTGCAGTTATTAAGAGATAATTGTAACCTTGCGGTTCCTAAGAAATCATTGAAAATTTACGGTTTCTAAGAAATTATTAAGGGATTATTGAAAATTTAAGTGTGTAATAGATCATGGCAACATTGCAATTTCTAAGAAATTATTGAAAACTTGATGTATCGAACATATCATTGAAACTTTGCAAGTTGTAAGTAATCATTATGATCTTGCAGTTTCTAAGAGAATATTACAACCTTGCAGTTTTTTTAGAAATTATTGCAAACTTGCTGTTTATAAGAGATTATGGAAAACTTGGAGTATCAAACAGATTATCGTAACCTTGCAGTTTTCGAGAGATTATTGTAACCTTGCATTGTCTAAAGGCCTCAACAGACGGTAGGATTTAGTTGTACAGCATTAATTAGAGATAAGATGTACAATTTTCAAAGCTATACAACACTTCGAGGGGTCAACGTGAAACTAGTCTATCTGACATTTTATCATAAAATGTCTTTTTTACATATTCTGAAAAGTCTTTATAGTCCTCACATTATGTGTTAAAATCTTCCTTTTCCTGTGCATAGTTAAGGACACAAAACATATTTGCCATACTATTGTATCTAAAAAGGCTATATGTGTTCAATGCGAAACTAGTCTATCTGCAAAAAATGTGCACATAGGCTAGTTTCGCATTAATATTAACATCTCTTTTTAAGTCAAGTAGCCTATGTGAAAAAATTTGTATCAATTTTTCTATACAATTGCATTATTTCAATAGTTAAATTAGTTCAGATCATTAAAAATATTAAAACAACCTTTAACAATTATTCCAAATCACACTTTGTAGTTGGTAATGGCTTGCATTGAAATTCTGTTGGAACTATTTTTTAATAATTTTAAAAAAATTGTTCAATTCAGGCATTATGTTTCTTTAATCATGATTTATTTTAACTAAAAAGTTTCCAAAGGCAAACTGCAAACTAGTGTAAAGAATTTATGGAAGCAACAAATTGAATTATTTAAGTACATTAGCTATCAGTGTTTTTCAAAAACGTGACTGTCAGTCAGTCCAGTCATACCAGTAGCCTACTTTCCTAAATAACTGAACAATAATAACCATTATAACCATTATTTTTTGCAAATGACCAACTACTAATCTCATCCTACATGATTTCTATATAAGCAGACAAAGTAAAATGAACATTAAACTTAATATCTGAGATTAAATGTCACACAGAAATTTCACTAAGTCTGAGAACCCCTCCATAATAAATCCAATGCTTGACTGAAATTGCCTTTTGATTTATATTGATGATAATTTTCATCTTGAAATGACTAGAAATGTGTGCAATTTTAGCCATATTCCACTTTTGTGTCAGTGTAAGGAAGTCTGACATCCTCTTGAACTCTGTTCACAGTCCAACAACTTACTGGACAGAATGTTGAAGATATGGATTGAGTGACATACAAATATTATCTAACTTATGAATGAAATTTTTGGTCGCAAAAAAAAAAACAACAAAAAAACATATAAAACTTAAAGTAAAGTTAAAAATTTTAACACATATAATTCAAATAAAACTGTCATGAAAAACACAGTTAACAAGTAACCTAATTGTGTATTGCTTACATAAATTCTTGCCACTAGTTTGCCTTTGAAATATTTTTATCTTTCGGAACATAAGTTTCATTAATATTAACATGCTTATCATATCATATCAGTTTGAATAATACGAGGGTTGTTCGGGAAGTTCTGAGAATTGTTTTATAGCACACGTTGTAGTCGGGTAAGTGTAAATATAAATATATACGCATTTATTTCAATATATACTGTACAGTATCTGAAAATATCATCATCATACACATAGAAACTAAAACATAATAAAAATAGTAAATAACCATAAAACAAACACCCGGAGCACGACGACGTCATTTGCAACGTTATGCGACGTTAAAGTCCATTGATCGTCGCACCTTTTCAACGTAGTCACCTGCGATTTCGATGCATTTCCTGTTTCGGCTGATCCACTTATTAGCATTCCGTGTACAGTAGAAATTGATACGCAAAGTTCATCTGCAATAGCTCTAACTGTCGTTCTTCTGTCGCAATTTATCATGTCTTTTTACGAGTCCTTAATTGAACATGCAACAACAGACTGCCGACCGCATCTAGGATCGTCTTCGGTCGAGTTTCTTCCTTCTTTAAAACGAGCATGCCATCTCTACACTGTAGCCGGACTGCATTTCTTGTATTTTCCTGTAGGATTGATCATTTTCATTGTTTCTGTGGAAGACTTTTCCAGCGCAACACAAAATTTCACGATGCTTCGCAATTCAACGTCACCTATCGACGTCATGTTGTTTACTCAGTGGCTCTGGGCAACAACTTTAAAACAATGTTGATCAGTTGAGAATTTAAATAACGTTATGATATTTTCAGGAAATGACGTCATGACGTTCTGCTGCTGACCAGCGTTTTCGTGCATTTTTTACGTCATCAAAATTACGAAATATTATAAGTGTAGCGCGTTAAACCTTTCTTTAGAGTCGGACTGCTCCGGTGCGGCGTTATAGTGTTGCTATGGTTACTGCTATTTCCGGCTATTTCCGAAAGCTGATTCTATTCAATTTTTAGGAATAGTTCCGTGATTACTAATCTTAGTATGTGCAAAATATTACGTCTTAGAAACAAAAAATATAGGAGATATGACAAAATTCTCAGAACTTCCCGAACAACCCTCAAACGTGTATACAAATATCCAAGAAACTTTCTTATAAAACGTTTGATATAATACATCTTTACGTCTAGGCTTCTTCACCTGTATGCGGGAAGGGCCGGACATAGTTATGGAAATGAGCTTCTGTCAGGTCAATGGTGTGATTTTGTTTCTGATATTGCAAGGAGAGGGGGGTATTAACTTAAGTGACAAGATCCATAAAATAATGATATTTGAGCAGTTTTCCATTTCTGAATTAATTTTTACATCATTATAGCAAATCAATGTTTACATACATGTGCATGTTTTTGTTTCTGTTTCTTTCTCTAGTCCAAAGCAGATGGAATACATTATTTGGGTTACATCTCCCCAACACTAGAGATGATTTGTTGCATTGTGATAATTATGCCTAGTCCTAAATGTATGCATCAAAATGAAATTTTAAATGGCACAGTGGGTTGACTGCTTTCTATTTTTAGCTCTTCGATATGTTTCGATAAAAATGTCGAGCTGTACCAATGGCCGAGTCGGTCTTGTTATTGTTGGGAATGTGAAAAATCTTGACTGCACTCTAAAACGCAAAAACGTTTAAAAGTTTGAAACTTTGAATATTTGCTTATCAATGTAAGATTCCATTGTGACACAAGGGGCATTCATATAATCTAAAAGCTATATTTTTGGAGTCAGATGCCCCTTTTTTACAATACAATTTTTATTATAATTGTTTATTAAGTTTAATGATTTAAAGAACATCTAAGGTTTCAATATGAAACTTAGATTGCTTACATATCATGTCAAAAGAAAGATGTAAGACAATGACATTATCCTGTAAGCAAATTTTTTAGTGGTTATGCCCCTTTTCAACTTGGAAACTCTTATTAGTTATGTTCCCTCATTGGATAGAAATTCAATATGGCAAAATTCATCAAGAATGAACTGAATGACATGTTATGGTGCACAGATTCATCAAAGACTGGTAAACAGGATACTATTCATACACAGCAGTTTGTGAAAACAAGTCATGTAATTAATACTGATTTCTATGACACAGTAATATATAAAATATAAGCAATGTTTCTATTGTTTGCACTGTATGAGTTTAATTAACATTAATCAATATTATAAAATAAACATTTAATTGCCATACATTTAAATCCTAAATATCACTTGGACTAGTTTCGCAAGGACTAATTTCTAGTCAGTTTTTTTACAAAATTCAGAGCGAAACTAGTCTATGTGAATTTTTCATAAGATCATTAAAAAACTGTTTTTCTATCACATATTGTTATTATAACATACCCTGAAGCACTAGTGTGCTTTTTTCATAAAATCACATAGAATAGTATTGCATTCAATCTTTAAGCCATATATGACAATATTCTGGCGCGAAACTATTCTATGTGACATTTCTTACTAAAACATCATTTTTAATGAACAGATTATCAAAACTGAAATAAGTATGGTTGAAGTTCTCTTAAATACATACTATATCTATATTATATTGAAAAATTCTGAAAATGTAACAATTGAGAAAGTTTTTTCCTTCTCCTGAACATTTTTAAAAAATGCACATAGACTAGTTTCGCGTTGAACCCTCGACTTGCATTCAGACGGTAATTCTACACTGTAAGAATCATCTGAGGTTTCCCCTAAAAAGGATCCCTTTACATTGATCCTTTACATACTTTAGTCACTAAATACTTTTTCGCCATGAGTAATGATTGAAACACCTCCATTAAAAAAAATATTTTTTTAAATGTGCAGCCTGCCCGAGACTCAAACCTGAGACCCTCGGAATACCGTACTGCGGCTCTACTGACTAAGCTATCTGGCCGCCTACAAACTACCTCCACTCCCCTAATTAGAGAACAATTCAATACCGTGACATAATCATTTTCGGAATAATTTGGGATTCGAACATAACACAACTTTGGGTCTCCTGAAGAGTTTTTCAACATCATTTTTACCCCATCTTACTACTATGTTTACCTTTTAGCCCTAATTGTTCTGGAATTTCATTCATTACACCCATTATCAGGAGATAATTTGGTTATCTGTTACTTGTCATTGTGGGAGGTCTGTAAAAATCTGTACGACAAGATTTTCAAAATAGAACATGTCCTATCCCTTACATCTAGACTTAAGGTTTCCGAAATCAAGAAATAGTAGCCTTCACTCATTGAAATTTGTTTGTACATCTTAGTTTTAATTGGTGTTGTACTTCAAAATCCTACCGTCTGTTGAGGCCTTAAGAGAGTATTGGAAACTTAAAGTTTCTAGAGATCATAGTAACCATGCAGTTTCTACGTGAATATTGTGATTTTGCAAATTCTAAGAAAATAATCTGACCTTTCAGAAAACTGAAACGATATCTTAACGTTTTTTAAGAAAAAACTACCTAATATTCCATAATATGTAAGCGAAACGTAAAAAGCAGGAAATGAGGAGAAAGGATTCAAATAAGGCAAAAGAACATTATGTCTTGGAATCACAACATCTAAACATATCTTTCTGAAGGTAGAAACATTTACAATTTACCGTTTTGATATAATTTTGATCAATTAGAAATTTCAACATATTCATCAGATCTCTCACACGAAGGTGGATCACCATTTTCAATCGGGTTTTCTTTGTAGTAGTCATATATTTGACACTCTGACGTTTTCATTTTAGCAGGATTGTCAGGTCTTACTTCAAAATATCCTAAAAAAACAACACAATAAACGGCTGTATTAATGACACTGAATATATGTAAGTTTTGATCAAAATAAGTTAATTTTGCATGAAATGATTGATCCTGATATGGAACATAAAAAAGAATTATTGTTGCATTAGGATTTATGTCTTTATTATTATCATTATTTTTTGACAGACAATAGTCACATGATTATGTGATTTTAACACATCTTATGATAGCACGAGATAATTTGCCTACTTAAATATCTATCTTAGACTAGGAGAACATGAAATAATATCTAGTAAAACATGAATAGATTGAAAACAAAAATATAAGATATTTAAAAACAATAAAATATGCACATCTTCCATTTTGTAAAATTTATATTTACAATTTACGCTCCAATAAAATACTTAAAATATTTATCCTTTATTTACCTGTGATAATATAGAAACTATCTGGACGTAAGCGAACTCCACAGTTAGCTACATCAGCATATGTATACAATCTATCAGTTTCCACATTTCCACTTGGAGCCTAGATCATATAATATTACATGATCAAAGTGTACATTTAATTATTGTACGTATATATATGATTAAATACCCAACAAAAACTTTATGGTTACCTAATAAAATATATTTATTTATATTATAGGTTTTTAGTCTCTGAAAATGAACACGAGGCCAGACGGAATTCAATTCAATATTGCTTTGTTATGGGGAGTTTGGATTTAAAAATAAGATTAGTTCGATATGAATTTGTATGGAATTGTTTTGGACCCGGGGAATGCTATTGCATGCTTTAGTTAAATTTTATTCCTCCTTATTACATTACTGGCTTTTAAAACTACTTTTACCTTATGCTTTAGTAAATTGTGAGCACTGCCCTAAACAAACAAACAAAAACAAAACAAGCAAACAAATGAAAACAACAAATTAAAAATAATCTATGTACTAGCTGTTGCAATTTTCTTTTAAATGTTGTATAAATATTTTCCCTAGTATTATATTACATATGATAATTACCTTAAAAGCGTATTTGTAAAGTATATCAACATCATAAGCTAACTGAGAACCGTCAACAGTACCATTGCCTTTGATTTTAAATACAGCAGCTAGAATAAGCAAGTAAAGATAGTAATCACAAACCATCATAACAAACAATAAAAATTGCATATGACTATAAGTTTATATAAGAAATATACAAAGCTCATGAACGAAGCATTATATAATTACCTGTGGACCGAATACAAATGGGAGTTTGTAAAGTATTAATCAGTTTAGATTTGAAGAGGCTATGCTCTCTGCTACATATTTATGGGAATAGTGTTATTCCATATGCCATTGCTAGAAGATGGGCCGGGCTATTCAAATCCGGAAACAGATATCAAAAATGAACCCTGATCTGTTCGTCCAGCAACAGCAACATCTGAAAGTGATATTACTACTGTAAGGCCAAAACAGGGAACGCTTGCGAAGTGCGTCAAGAATGCTGGCTGAAAACACTATTATATAATATCGGGATTGGTGATAGAAGAGACGTGCTTTTGCATTGAGCTAAAGGGTGGTTGAGGGAGGGGGTGGGTAATTTGATGGGTTGGACTAACAATTTTACACAGAAAGATCACTTAATTACAGCGTCACATAGATTAATACTTTTAACTGTCCCTCGTAGTTAATCTTATTTTAGTTATTGAACAACGAAATGCGTTCCGGACCATCTTAGGATTATGAGTTTTATAGCTAAAACTTTAAAAATAAACTTTTATAATATTATGTTAACTAGTAATAATGTTCATTATATGCATCCTGAATCACAAGACAATAGCTTTTGAGTACAATCAAATTCAAACTAAAACATATTTGTAAACGTACAGAATCCTGGATTGAAATTGCAGTAATCTATCCCCGGATCAACTAGAGCACAGATACACACCCCAGAAACATTTGAGAACATACTGCAGATGACCAAGGTAATTAAATAACATGACATCTGAAACGGAAAATGAAAAAGCAAAAATAAAAATGCAAAGAATAATGAAAAAGTATACACATAATACTGATTATAGTTACTTCTCCCGTGGACGAGCGGTTAAAAACGTAGACTCATTTGCCCCTTATAGCTGCAGGTTCAATCAAACATTTGTCCATGTGGGGAAGGTATCAAGCTATCAAACGCCGGAGGTTCTACTCAGATGCCGGCTTGTGCCTAAAATAATGCACGGAGTGGTACATGAGGTCTTCCTTCATCTGTTAAGCTGGAAAGTCGTCATATGACCTTCAAACGCGTCGGTCTGACTCAAAATAAAAAAAAACAAAACAAAAAAACAAACAAACAAATAAACTAAAAGAAAGTTTTTCGATGTAATAGTGCCCTTTTTGAAATGATGAACTGTCGATATTAAATTATTTTGGTCAAGTGAATCAAGTATTTTAAAAAAGGTTTTCAATTGTTTAATTATAATCGATCACTTGAAGTTTTGTTGCGGCAATTTATGAAACATAATAATATACAAAATATTTGCATTTTATTTATATTTGTACCGAAATAACAGTAAACAACAGCATATGAGAAGAACAAATACCATTTTAAATATTGAAACTTACTTTTCTTTCTGTCATCTGCGGGATCCAATTCAAATCTAAAGTTATAATTCACATCGAAATTACAAATGACTCTCTCCATAAATCACAGTTATATCTTCCTATTTATAAGCACGCAAATAAACTTGACAATACAAAAATACACAAGTAGACTGTCTATATATAATTTACATCTGTCATTTAATGACATATAACGTATATTTGCTGCTGCACCAATGGTAACATTTTACTATAAAGATGTCTCATTTAATCGTTTATGTTAATCCTGTATACAAATTTGGATTAATTCAGAGTTTCTTACATTAATAATTGTAAGTTTATAATATATATTTTATATAAGAATTGTAAATGCTCTCATCTTTAGATTTAAGGTCACTGTATATATTTGAAATGATAAATGCAAACGAAGCAATTGACATAATTATGAACTGTTAATATAGATAGATCTCACACTTGTTAAATATAATTCTTTCATGGTTTGTCGTAATGTCTGATAATAAATATAATCATCGTACCTGTTGATTGTGTAACAGACATTCCATTATTTACCAGTTTATTTTGAGGGAATTCGATTACATAAACCGTAAGAATCAAAACAAAATAGCATTTATAATAACGAAAGCCTAGGGCAAGAAGCGAACCGCGTTTTGTTTATTTTTTGCTCGATTTCACTGACAACTACCTAACGTCAGATTACGGTTCGGGAATGTCCTCATTGCTTTCAAAACATATCTGAATTAACGTCCATTAATTTGGAAATCTAATAGCAATACCATTGAAAATTTTTTAGCACCGCGCAGTATGTTGTAGTTCTGAGCAAATCAGACTAAGCTGTCCAAATAAACATGTTTGCCCAGCAAGTATATTGAAAACATAAATGGAAAACCAATCATAAGTCCTACCCCGGCACATAATAACTTTCAGTGGTTGGATGAGTTCTTTCATGTATGTAATGGCTGTCGTATTGACTATGTAGCTGCGCATGCGTATAGCTGTAATACCAACCATATAAAGCCTTATTTGGAAAAGCTCTGTCTTAGATACAAGGATTTTTTGCCCACGGAGTTTACATGTTCAAAATGTACCGGTAATCAGCAGCAACCGATGAAAACTATACTATCGAAACTTTCACATTAAGGTGTCATTATTTTGGTGTTTGTATAGTATTTTGTCATCAGAAATTGAATCAGTCGCCAATTCATTGTACGACAATTGCCACCAACAGTTTAGTTTGACGACAATACATACCATTTGCATGATGTTTTTGTGTGTGAAGAAATTGACAATTGTTTTTATAGTAATCATTATTTTCAGGAAAGCCTGATAATGAATAATGTCTCTGAAGTAAATGTTTGCTAATAACCTTACATCTTAGAAACATTAAATATAAATTTGATACTTTATTACACATTTACTGATATCGTAAAGTTTTTGTTTTGTCTATAAAAGCTGCTGATTTCCTATAAATTATTATTAATAGACAAACACAGTCAAAGTAAAATAGTTTTGCTTTAAAATTATTTTATCTTGATTATCACCAGATGTCACTTTGTTTAAAAAAAATGTCTTGGCAGTCGTATATACATTTTCGTTTCTTTCATTTTTTTAATTATTCATTGTGTTTTCAGATATGAACGGACCCACCATATCCGTTTGATGTATGCCTTGGAAGAACTGCGTGTTTGCAGGGTATTTGTCACCAATTAGTTGTTGTGTTTTAATTGAGAAAATGTGCTTAAGTTAGATCTAATAAAAGGTCAAAAGAAAAAAAACACTTTGAGATTTACTTCTTTCCTGTTCTGTCTAGACCGCATAGACATTCACTATATGTAAAATAGGTTCATTTGGATATCTTTGTTGAACCGTGTAGATACTTATATTGGTGTTCCAATAAATTTGTTGACGTTTATAACGTTTTATAGTTTGGGTCACGATGGGGAGCAAGAATAAATTATCAATTCACATTTAAACCAATGTAACCTCATTTGGTGGGAAAGCTCCATTAATGCGTGCCTGTGCAGAACCATCGGTGTTTCTTTCATATTATTTATTGGCATTTGTTGCTTTTCTTGTCTTTGAAGCTTACAGTGCTTTGCCATTGAAATTGTGTTCAAAACAAGTCCATATTATCAATGGTATTGTATAACTGTATGCAATGTTAACATGTTAAAAATATTTAAGAAAAGTTTCCAAGCTTGATGACAGGATGGATTAGGACTGTTGAAATGTAAACATTTGCGGGATTGTACTTACTTAACACATTTGTTCGAAAAAGGTTCAATTTAACTTTTTATTGCAGTGATATAATATTGATCATTCAGAAAATTCAACATGTTTATCAGATCTCTCGCACGGAGGTGGGTCACCACTAACGATTGGATTCTCTTTGAAGTAGTCTTGTGTGCTACAACGTGATGTTGTCATTACCGTAGGTGTTTCATCCCTTAGTTGAAAATATCCTGTAAACAAAGCAAACAATAAACAAATAATTGATGACGCTGTATATATAACTATTTATACATGTATAAAAACAGTTTTATAACTATAACAAGAAGTAAGTAATGGTCATGTTTAAAGATGCTACTGACTTAAACGGGCATGCAGTACCATTATTATCATTATTATAATTAACTTACATTCGTAATAATAATTAAGATAACTAAGATGGCATAAAATATTCCACCTACAAGTTAAAAAGAAACATTCTATGTTACACCTACCTCAAAATATACGAAGACTTATTTTAGAAAAAAGGGTCAACAATCTAAACGATTGAAAGCTTCGCATTCCTAACATGTAATGAAGTAATACCAGAATTAAAAATAAAAGCTCAAAATTAATAACACCTTGCCTTTATTTGCCTGTCATGATGTTAAAAATATTGAAAATATATGCGTGTAAACAACAAAACCAGTACTAACAACACCTATCCTTGACTTACCTGTGATGATATAGAAACTATCTGGACGTAAACGAATCCCATACGCAGGTCCATCAACCATTGTATACAGTTTATCAGTTTTTACATTTTCACTTGGAGCCTAGGCCATAATAATACACCGATACGTAATGAATATTACAAAATACAATAATTAAATAATAAGTTTTCAAAAAATAACAATTGTCTTACAAAATAGATTTATTTTTCTTCCTAAATCATTAACTTGAAGCGACAGACATGAAAACAATGCTTGTTGAATACTTTATTTTTATCATTTGCTCTTGTAATGTTAAGCATCAATTCCAGTTTACAAAATACAGTTAATTGTCTTTATATTATATATTAATGTATCATACATACAAAAAGAAACAAGTATAAAAGGCATAAATTCTAGTTAATACTACACATTTCTTACTGTTAATTGTCTTTATATTTTATTTTATAGTAATGTTTGGTATACACAAAATGAAACAATTCTTGTAGATTCGGATTTAAGGTATCCTTTTATTAAATATAAGCCTTTGCGTTGAGCTAACCAATATTGTTTACGCTCATGCATTGCTACAGTATACAGTTAAGACGTATTTAACGATTTGTTAGAAGCAATATTCAGATTAATTTGAAAACATAGTTTTTGACAATTCGATTTTATATGTACAGTATCATTTTCTTACATTTTAGCATTTGTAATGAATCTGCTTTGAAATGAAAGTAAATTATATCACAGACATTTGGGGTTTGGAGCTCAAAACGCCTTTAAAATCCAAATAAAATGCATATTTGTCAATCCCAGCACATGTACTGATCATATATATCAAAAAAACTTAATATAAGCCGTTTTGAAAAAAATTCATATTTCAACATCTATAATAATACACAAGATAAAAATGTTCGCCGGAAAAAATCCGCACCCCTACCGTCATAATCACCATGTATTTTAATCCATTTCCAATATTTTCACATAATCCTTTGGTCCATCGACACAGAAGATATAATTCTTCACGATGATGGTCAATTTTAAACTTCAACGGTAATATAAACAACGCAACAGCCGAAATAAACATCAATATTATCGCCGTTTTTTTCCAACGACAAAATCTTTCGATAAATTCAATGGACCAGACGGCTATGAACGAAGCTATCCGATTATGTGGTTCCCAAACTTAAAAGCGCTGCGCATTTTGCACACGGCAAAGCTGGGGCCACATAATCGGATAGCTTCGTTCATAGCCGTCTGGTCCATTAAATTTATCGAAAGATTTTGTCGTTGGAAAAAAACGGCGATAATATTGATGTTTATTTCGGCTGTTGCGTTGTTTATATTACCGTTGAAGTTTAAAATTGACCATCATCGTGAAGAATTATATCTTCTGTGTCGATGGACCAAAGGATTATGTGAAAATATTGGAAATGGATTAAAATACATGGTGATTATGACGGTAGGGGTGCGGATTTTTTCCGGCGAACATTTTTATCTTGTGTATTATTATAGATGTTGAAATATGAATTTTTTTCAAAACGGCTTATATTAAGTTTTTTTGATATATATGATCAGTACATGTGCTGGGATTGACAAATATGCATTTTATTTGGATTTTAAAGGCGTTTTGAGCTCCAAACCCCAAATGTCTGTGAATTATATCAATACTGGTACTTTTGAGATTTTCGACACTAGCCTCTAGCTAGAATGGACCCTTTTCAGCGTTTTCTTAAAAAATCTTCTTATAACATTAGTGCCTAGACGATAGTTACCTTAAATACATATTTGTAGAGGATATCAACATCATAGGCCAGTTGTATACCGACAACAGTACCATTATCTTTGATTTTAAACACAGCAGCTGAAATAATAAAGTATTGATGGCAATAAAAAAATGTTGGTAGTTTTAGAAATATTAAAACTATTGAATGAAGCATTATACATGTATGGGACCGAATTTTAAACCAGGCCTTTGTAGTTGATCTAAGGTGAGTTTCTGATTTTCGCATATTCACAACAGACCTTACACAGTATCACATTTAGAAAAATTGGACATTGTTCTGAAAGTTATTATTATAATCTAATATTGATTTACCTTATGATATATCGTTAATCTATATCACAAGACTAAAAAATTCTAAGCAGTTTACCATTGAAACAGAAACATATGTATGAACGCACAAAATCTTGAGTTTGCAAAATAACTTTATATAATTCTGTAATTAAAAAGATTAATCTGATGGCGTTACTCTATGTTATATCGTTAACATTTATCACAAAACTTCTTAAAAGACTACAAAAGTGTAAACGCACCAAATCCTGAAGTTCTAGCACAGTAATCTATCTCTGGATCAAATGGGACACATGAACATCCATGAACATATGCGAATGTACTGCTTATGACCAAACTAATCAAATACCACGACATCTGGAAAACAAATGGAAATTAAGAATAAAGTTCAGAAGGAGTAAAAGCATACAAATACTAATTCGTCTGAATGTAACTTACGTTATTGTTTAAAGGAACTCCACACGAAGGACCAAAACTATTTTTCCAGTTGGTGTATCTCTGGACTGATAACTTGTGTAAACAATTTCAAAATTATCTCTCATTCCGTTTGCCCAAAATGATAATTTTTATTGCTCAAAAAAGCCAAAAAATGGCAAAGCGTTGCATAACATAGCTTTTCACTCAAACTTGGCTAAAAATTATGCTAAAAATCCATTTTTGAAGTATATTTCTTAATAATATGCAGATGTGTCCATTTTAAGTTAATCGCTATGTAAGAATTTCAAATATATAAACAAATGTGGTTAAAAAGAATGATGTATTTGCACAAAGGTTGTAATTTATTTAAAAATAAAAACTGTCTCTTCAGTTGTCTTAAAATAGTAGAATTTAACAAATGATATAACATATGTGTATGAAATCTATGGTTGTCTGAATTAGAAAGTCACAAAATAACATAATTAGAGAAAACATACCAGTCTCGATCACTTACCTGTACTTCTGTCTTATGTTAGATCCAATTCAAATCTAATGTTATAATTCACATTGAAATTGCATTCCTGAAAAGTCCTTTCGATTCAACCCTCATTTTAATTCCTTAATTAAACACACATCATTCAAACTTAAAATAATTAGAAAATACAACAAGGACGTTGATTTAATATGTTTTAAGCGTCATTTATCTATTTTTAACGTATGTTTGATGCACAAATAGTTCAAAAAGTGGTAAGTTTTAACTATTTAAAATGAAGATTAGACAGGGGACATTGTTTTCGTATGATTATCTCATTAGCTATTACGCATATATGTTTCATGAATAGTGCGGAAATGGTAAAAGTTGGCAATTAAGATGTCCCATTCAATCGTTTATGCTAAATCGTGTATATATAATGTTAGATTAATGATGAAAATTTCTTACTTTTATGATTACTATTGCATTTATTTTTAGTATAGAGTAATAAATGCTCTCAGCTTTAGATTAAAGATCACACGTCTAATTCATATTTCGTTTGCATATTTCAAAATGTTTACGAAGCAATTTTGCATAATTATGCTATGCTAGGATTTTATTTCATTTAAAGTACATAGTTTCCATAAATGTCAAATGTTTTTATACTTTACAACCGAAAGGTATGATAATTAGTGTATTTATAGCCAGATGACATTTCTATGATAGAAAATGTAAACGGAATTGAGCTGATTAATAACCTGTTTGTAGCATACAAGAATTTGGAAATATCTATACTTGCTAATACATTTTGAAAGGATTTAAATTTCATAAAACAACTTTTATTATTTATAAAGCATAATTGACGAAGTATATATAGACTACTCTAACATATCAATAATCTTAAAACGACGTATAGGGCACAGAAATAAAATTGCAATAAAACGTTAAAGAAAGGTGAGCGTATCTTTTTTTCTTATTTTTTGCTATGCTAGGAAATCTTATGAGGCAATATTGATCTCAGATCACTCTTATAGAAATTTCGTGTTTTGATTTTTAAACATATTATAATATACCATTTTTTTGTAATTTTTCGACATTTGAAGACCAATATATACAAAATAATGTGAAATTCATTTGTTGTAAAATGTAACGTGTGACTGGTTCAGTACGAAAATTGGGTAGGGAAACTATGTTCGTTGTGTTTTTATATTAAGCATTATAATCGAAAAGTAATTAAAAGTTTTTTTTACAAATAAACCTTCATCTTTGCACACAAATAAGAATAAAAAAAATTTCAATAACTAGTACTTAGTGCACCAATGACGCTTTGAAATCTCTCACAAATATAAACGATTGTCACGGTACATATGCAATTTGTTATTTTGGTTTTTAAAATGGAAAATGTGCCTGGAGACTGTATATATTTGTTAATACAAAACCTAAATCTCTTACGATACGTTCACGTATTGCCTGACATCAACAAAACCTTTTTCCTATTTCATTTGAAATGCAAAGTCAGAGACTCTGACCAAAATACAGATTATTTTTCTACAGTAAAATATTCCCATTGATATTCTGGTGGCTACATAACAAACTTTAAGATAGCCGAAACTATTTAAAAGGAACATACGAAAGCTTCGAGTCAGTTAAGAATATGGCCGATAAAATCAAACTAATCAATTTGATGTACATACAGTGCAATGGATCCATTTCTAAATGAAATTATTTTGTTTAACATTTCTACTCTTTCGCAAATTTGTTATTTAAATAATTATTTTCAACGGAATGAATTTATTTTCCAATTTGTATTAACAATCACATAATCTTCAGAAGTAATATTATATTCCATTTGTGCCATCATGTTTAATTATTCATAAATAGCCATGTAATACAACCTAGGAAATTAATGTCCTCGATTACTATCGCCATGGTTTCACGGGTCTTTTATGATCTTTTAATGAGCTATTAACTACGCAATAAAAAATCTACAAAACAGCGGATATTAATTCACTGTCTCCTTGCATGTAATACTGGTACAGGATTTTTCAACAGAGATAGACATAAGTGAAAAATTGATATTTAAATAAAATAAGTAGTAGAGGATGGAAGACACGGCATCAATTTTGCTTTTACGTTTTTATCATTTATTCTTATAATCAGGTTCAAAAGTGGTATTTTTTACAGATTTACTAGGATTTTTGAGGAGTATGTTGTATACTCGATCGGAATGAAAACAAATATTGATTTGTTATGGCTAACGCAAATGAAAGTGCCTTGCGGACAAACCTCCGATTAGAAGAATTAATACGTATTTTAGATGTCCAAAACGCCGAAAGCTATGAAAGGAAAAAAAGGTTTCGAGAAAAACTGGAAACGTTGAAAGAGCGTCAAGAAGAATTACAACGAAGACGTGTGTCCCGTCTAGGAAACGAAGGTATTCATATTGACATCGATCTTATAAAAAGACACGCAAGAGCTCCGATAGCTTTAAAGAGATTGGACGTCGAGGCAGAAAGTGAAAATGTAATACGAAAAAATATCATAAACGATGAATTAAGGGAACTTTTTAAGCCAAAAGATACAAAAGTTGAAACTGATTCTGACTACGATCATGAATCCGAAAACGAATTAGATGTCGTACCTGTACAAAAATCTCCATGCACACAGAGTAGAAAATCAAATTCAAAAATGCCTGTCAGGCAAGCGTCTGAAATAGATGAAATGAGCGAAAACGATACAAAAGAATCGTTAGAAAAGGATACTTACACAGCGGATCAGGTAAAAACTGTTCAAGTTCGAGTAAAGAAACATAGTATAAAGAGATCAGTTAAAACAGTTGGACATGTTGTTTCGACAACAAAATATTTAAGCAAAATGTCAATTAAAAGGAAGAAATCGATGAATATGCAAAAATAGAGAACAAGCTGAACAGACAAAAACTTTCATAAAACAGTAATGAAATAGCTTGAAAAGTAATTGCTTCGTAACGAGACTGTATGAATATATGGAAGATGATTTACATGCGAATATCTAGGCTAATATTCAATTGAAAATGAAATGAAATAAATCATGTGTCTACAAACTTTCATCACGCTATGGTACTTAGGATATAATATGAGGTGTACAAATATGATTAATTAAGTTTTAACAAAGATCTTATATTAAATGGGATAAATGTATGTAACTGTTTATTTAAATTCTTAACTGGTAAGCAATAGGAGATTTCTGAGGATACTGGAAAATAAATATTCTTCGTTGAAGAAAATTTATTGTGCAAAAACAATTAGCAAATATCTTACACCTCTCATTTTTAATACCATTAGTTTTTGTCATTTAACCAGGGATTGCAAATAAGTAATCATTAGATATATTGTAACATTTATAGTGTTGAGAGAGTCGGATATTGTAGAAATGATTTTACTCCAAGTACATTTAAATGTTGTGTCTGAGAAGTACGGGGCAACCTCAACAATGTAAACTCTTTCAGACAAACATTTTGGTAGTTGCGTAGAGTTGTTGCTTCTACTTGTAAGTTTTAAATTGGGAAATTTGAAAACTGTTGTTGTAAAGAAGTAATCATTTATCAGAAGGCCGGTTTGTGGAAGTTGCATGTACTGAATAAGTTTGGTTGAAATATCAATATGTTCTTTGTATAATTCAACTGAATAGTGCCATTCCTTGGTACTGTATCAAAAATAGTGGTGTTACATTTCTATGGGGTTCATATCACGAATATAAGGCACACCATTTGATTTGAAATTCAATGAAAGATATATGCCATAATATTGATTTTCATAAATGTCAAACTGATAAAAGTGTTTTGAAATCGTGATGGGTATATCTTATGATTATTTTCATAAGAATTATTAACAGTTAAATTGTATTGTTTCAATTATCCTACTGTCGATTCTTGAAAACGTTGTGATATAATATTTAACACAAATGAATACTGTACGTAAAAAGAATACAATGTTCCGGAACAAAAAATATGCTGCTTTTTAAATACTTTTTTAAACCGTTTAACAATGATTTTGTGCGTGTTACTTACTTCTATGGCAATATACCTCTATATTTCGTTCAAACAAGCATTTTGAACGATTTGTTTGTAATGGTTCATGTGTTTGTTTACCTAGCACAGTGCAATCAATTACAGCTCAATAGAAATGCATTATTTTATTCAAAAAGTTACTTTTTAGACCAAGAAGCATGAACTTTTTGACTGGTTTGTTACTCGCTACGTGTATTGCGCATGTGTATACATCTTCTTGTGGTTTTCCACTTCCGACCGAACAAGAGGAATTTTGCTCGACTCGCACAAAATTCGGTAAGAATACAATTTAGAAATATTACTCTTACTTCATTGTTAATACAAATTAAAAATCAGAAACAAGTTCTTTTTACCAACTTGAAGTAAATGTAAGATGAATAAATATGTAAAGTATTTTTCTTAATTAAGCTTGTAAGAAAATATTACATGCCATTTAAAACAAATTCAGTTTTATATTAACAAAATCAGTCATACAAATATATAAGTAATTGCAATAAGGTCAACAGTGCCTTTACCGGCTTTAGCATTTTTAGATTTGTTTTTCTTTCAAAGCTGTAATATATTCAGATGCGGTACAAAATCATTGTTTCTATTCATTGATTAAATTGTAACATTTTCTTCCAAACACAACACTAGAACTTAAAGGCACATTATGCCTCTGTAATTAATATTGTTTAATTCTTTATGTAGGTCTGCTTTGTGTTTTTATAATATTTTGATAATTATCTTAGAGCGTCTTAGATGTGAAACTACGAAAAAAACTAGTGTTGAATGACTGAATGTGCAGTAATGGTACGTAAGCGTAGGAAAATGTAAAAAGTAGTACTGTTATTTTGACTTCCATACAAAATACATACTCTCTACACTTCTACCAATTGCTAAAGAGTAAAAGAAGCGAAAAGTGAATATGAAGCCAATGAGTATTTTTGGAAACTGTTCAAGTATATAAATAAAATAGGTTTGAAAAAAAAAACGTTGAGAGCATTTCATGGACTCAGTGGGCCTTTAAAGAATTCTTAATGATTGTTTTCCAGTTGTTCTAGTGTACTTCAAATCTAATGCAACGAATGATGCAGTAGAAAGTAAACTGAAGTACAGAGTACGACTAGATGAAACATATAAGTCAAATGGAAGAATGTTATTGTTTTGCATGATTTTCGTATATATATATATCTCCATTTATTGCCACTGTTATACTAATGAGTCACAATAAACAACTCGGACAAAATCACCGAGACGACCTGGTAGCCGGGTCACGGGAAAAGAATCTAGCGATGACATAAAGCATAAGAATCTAGCGATGACATAAAGCATATCATTTTAGCATGTTTATGGAATTACAGAATGTTGAAAACTCTTTTTGACAATTTATGCTATGAGAGAATTTTTCTTTGATAGCTGAACAAGATGTGATAACATTAACGTTTGTGAAAGCAGCATGCTATGAATTCAGATTCAATGAACATGTTCATAAATAAAGTAAAATTATCAATGACTTACTTATTTAGGTTTACTTGCCAATAAACACTCGTGCTTGTGAGCTTCCAAGATGACCATCTCGATATGACTTACCTATTGTTATATTCAGCTGTATGCTATATTTTCACTAACTAGACTGGTATGTGGCAAGCTAGCAAATTGTTTTCTGTTCTTCAGGTGACGGGAAACATCAGGAACAATTTTGTATATACAGCAACTGACAGTGCTCAATGTGGTATCACTAATTTGGTTAAGGACAAATATTACATACTCTCAGGTACATGGAATGATGATCATATACATGAACATGTTTATATCATTTATTATCATTCATTAGTTTGAAACAACCAGTCGTAAAATTCATATAGCTCTGAGCGAAATATATAACTTGAAAAGTTGAAATACTTATATTGTAGGCACATAACATTCTTTATCTTATTTTATAAAGTTGTTAGAAATAAACACTAAATATTCTGCTATAAATTGTTTATCTTTGTTAAAAATTGGAGAACGTTTCTTGGCAATTTCCTCATATTTTTCATACATTGAACACATTAACATACAAAACCTTGTTTAAAAAAATATATTTATATATTACAATAACAGGATAGGATTTTATAGGAAAGTAATTAAATATATTTTATAAAAACAAACAAAAAGTACCATGGCCCTTAAGAAGATTATTTTGAACTTATGTTATGGTTTAATACACATATTTCTTTTATTACTTGATCCTACTTTGATTGTGGTAACAAGAAATGCATGTATATAGCTCTATGCAAAAGTATATACAATAAATACGATACAAGTCCCGATTTCACTGATCTAACATGTCCAACTCATTGAAGCAAACTGTACCGGAACTATTAAATATTCAGAATTATTGGAAAGATTGGATGCTTAGAGTGTTTTAGTAAGAGTGTGTCTAAATAAAAAAATAAACAAGTAACATGACGTAGTTATGCTACATATTTTTTTGAGTAGAAAGCTTATCGTTATGTGATTATGTCCTGCTCATTTAATTACAATTTTCGGCATTTTCACTTTTCTGTTCAAACGATTTAAATAAAAAACCGGGCTTTATAAAACACTCTTTCTGGTGCCTTAAATATTCTGCTCTTAAATTAAATGCTGAGCTGGGCACATTTTTCTAGGCTACAAGCACAGTGCTATTCCCAACAGTAAATACAATTACGACTGAAATAATAAGGCTCGCTTTTAATTCCCAAAGAATAAAACCTGTCATAAAGATGTATGAAAGTGTGTAAATATGATAAACACAATTTTAGAGAAGTATTTATTGATAACCAAACACTAGATACTAAAACAATCCACGATACTTTACTAAGTATCACGGCGGCACCAAAATCCTAAAAAAAGAAGAAAAAAAGAAATGAACAAAAACAACATAAATACATTGGTATGTTTCACACTGTTGTATGTAGTTATTGAATAAATCGATAATCATTCAAGTTCTAGAATGATGTCTAAAGGTAACTTTATTATAAAAAATATGCCAAACAATGTCATAGATGTACTTTTTGAAATTCCTGTTCTATCTTCGAAAGTGAAGCACATTCTTGTCGGCTAAAATCATTATCATTACCTATACGCATTTATTACGTATATCATTTATGCAGAAGAAATTTAATGGAAGGGTAAAATACATAGAAAGATTGTTGCGAAACGGTTGTAACTAAAGAAGGAGTTACACCAAATCCCAAATATGATTATTTCGGCAGACATTACTTATAGGTACTGAATTTGCTACCAAATTGCTCTCCCCATTGTTCTTTTAAATACTAATAGAATTTTCTTGCCACACGAACGAGAAGAATAACACCGATTGTGATATGTAACAACCTATTTTACATAGCCACTTAGTATCCATTAGTTACCGTTAATAAAAGAATGCTTCCAATTAAAATGATACATAAAACTACTGGCTGACGATATTATTTTTCCGTTCAACTTTAAGATTAATCATATAAATATATGAGAACATATTAAAACAAATGAGCATAAAAACTGTATCATTAAGAATTTATGAGTAATATAAAACAGACAGACATGGAAAATAGATGTCGGGGAATTTAGGAAAAGACAACAAATGCTTTAAAATTTGCAAGACCTTCCTTTCTTACTTACAGTTACATCTTGGTGGTTTGTAAACCCTCTGCGGATTAAAACGAAATCGTTGTTGAACATAACACAGTCCAGTGTGGATTTGCCTCTGTCTAATATTTCTGGGATAGTATCCTGTTTAAATCCAATAAATTGTAAGTTAAGTTAAAGTTAGTTAAAATTGTGGCTGAATCAAAAATACATTCGATTTATTTACATCAATGTATATCTAAACTTTTAAAAGAAATCCACGACAGAAATAAATATGTTATAAATGAAAGTATTTATTTAAAACAAGTAGTAAACTAACCATCGTTTTTAGTAGAATTTCTTTGCTCAAAGTAATCAGACAATCATAGTAAACAGTTTGACGTTTGCTTATGAAGCTGAATTATAAAGACTATTCTAAGTATTACAATGTATATATTCATATAGTTTTCTCGCACCTGTGAGAATATAATAGTACCCTTTCTGTAGAATAACGCCACAAGCAGCACTGTTTGTTGCTGTGTATAATTTTCGGACGTCAACACCTCCATACACCTGAATATTTGAAATATTTGCTTTCAATCGATATCAATCCTTAAACGACATTTACTAGATCTATAGCTACGAATTTTTCAAGCGTTCATTACACTTTATGTGTATGTTTGGCTGCATGCATATCATTTCAAATGCTAAAAACAATAACTTTAAAATAAAACATTATCAAAACATATCATTAAATCGTATACATACATGGGTTAAGAATTACTAAATTCATAAGCGCTAGACCTATTAATTGGATGTTACATCGAATATCGAATATTACACGTGTTATTACTTTAGCGGTAGACCCATTAATTGGATGTTATATCTAATATCAAATATTTCACGTGTTATAACAATCATACCGCTATGCGCGAAATATATGTTTTCTATTTTTAAGTACGTGGCATTTTTAAAAGGGCTCCATTTTTTGAAATGACGAGATTGTTTTATTAAGATTAAGGTTGTCTAGACCGATAACTTGGGTTCAAAATTTCAGATCATTCGCCCACTCCGTTTTGCTAGAATAATTATTCTAATTGTGAAAAATGACCCATCCGTTGCAGTTCTTTTCACTTAAATCGACATTATTGTAATGCAGGTGTCAAAAGTCATTTGGCATACTTATTATTATGGCCTCGTGACAAATGGAAATGGCTATATATATCGTTCAGGATGTATTGGTATTCCATCATTACAAACAGTGGGACTGTCTTTTTATAATTTATATAGTTTTTATATTGTACCACAAACATTTGTCATTATCAATTATTAAACAATCACTATTGTCATTGCCAATCTTTTGAAATATATTACTAATGCAACGCAACTTGACATGGAAACAATAAACATAATGCAACTTTAAATCGGGATAAGAATAGCACAAAAATACGAATTTTCGCTTTATTTCTGAAAATATTTCTAAATTGTTTTCTGTATTTCTGTCCGGCTAATTTATATAAGAAGTTCAAATGTTATATGTTTATAGGCTTAAGGACCTCGGTGAAGTGTTTAAAAACACATGGGGCATTTGTGGTTCTAAGCCATTGGAGCATGAAAAAATGTATCTGACATAAATTGAAAAAGTTTTATAGCTAAAATTAGTTAAAGTGTTTGACCGAAAATATTACACACTTTTCGCATGTATATTTTCTATACCTTTAATACATGTGTCATACACTTGTTTTAAATTGACTTTTGTAACAATAAAAGGCAACTTTGAAAGAAAAGTAATGAATCACATTTTCTAAATAATACTGATACTCGTAAGACAAATAAAAAAATATTCTTGCCGACGGAATGTTGTAATAATGAAAAATTAATTATGACATACATTCAATTTAGAAGGAACTTACCTTTGATCTGTATGTAGCGATTAGGTTTATTCTGTAGACTCTATTCCCGCCATAGACAATGCCATCGTTGAGTACCTTGACAAGAATCACTGTTCCAAAAAATATTTTCATTATTTATCATAGTATAAGCAAATGTAGAAAAAACGTGATATGTGGTTTATTGTTCTGGACAAAATATTTTGGATTATAATTAAAAGCTTTTGAGAAGCAATGATTTGTCTTTGAAAATATTCATTATTTCAAGCAATGCGTTCTTGTAGTAAGGACCTCGTTTTGTAAACGTTGTCTTTGGGGGCCCTCATATTTCAGAAAACTATTGAATGCCTTGATATGTGGCTATGACTGATATGTTAGACACTATTTGAGACCCTTTCTAAAATACATCAAGACTATGGTCAGTAAGTAAAAGAGGATAAACGCTACATTGGGCTGAGAATAATCTGCATAACATTTTTGTACATAACAAAGCATCTTAATGGGAAGAACGATGCTAATTTTTGCTAAATCAAAGGAGTATTCACGAATAACTAGGCTCAATATTTTTGAGGGAAAGCTAAAGTATTTCATGATACAATTTATGTACGTAAAATAAATGAGACAATTTTTGTCAAAATGCTTTTCAGATAAACCATAAAAACATATGAAACCAATTAAATTTCTTTTTTTTTAAATTTATGAAAAAAATCGACTGTGAAAGTTTTACACTCTTTGACACTACTTATGTTTCTTTTCAGAACTTTATATTTTACTTATTGATTCATGTTTATGCAACAGAAAGCTTCATTCGCTTAAAGCTACGATTGTTAAATTCAATTAATAAAGATACCATCAAGAATGCAGATGTTGTTCCTTCAAAGAGACAACATTTACATAACCAATATTCTAAAAATAGCACATGCCTCTCAGGGTAACAGTGCATATTAGCAACCCGAGAACTGAAATAACACTCTAGACAGAGCCGAGAAAGACAAGTGCTATTTTTTTTTATTTTACCGATTTATTTAAATGTAATGTTTTTTACCTCTATGTATTATTATTCTCATTGATTTTAACAGGGGAGAGGACTAGAATATTACGTTTTCTTTTGTCTATATAGATTACTCGCCCCTGGAGAATATTGCAAAAAAAATATTAATCCGGGTGATATTCATTTCAGGATGATGGATCGAAACATCATTTGACGTCACATTAGGCTATATAGTATTAAGGTAATGTGAGGTATAATAAACATACAGAAGTCCGCGTTGCAATATTTTTCTTGTACTGTATTATTAGGACTACATGTACATGCGCTGCAATATTGGACTGTCACCATGGCAGCTAGAGCAAGACAGAATAAGAATTTCATTTTGTTGAATTTACGGGTACCTGAAACAGATGATGACAACAATGTTGTAAACATTAGATGTTAAAGAATATATCAAAATATTTCTTCCCCTGTACATAAGAGAGAAATTATTGTTTTTGTTGACAATGTTAGGTAATTATTGTAAATTGTTAATTACTTAACTTTCTTTGTTCACCATTCAACATGTTTTGTATTTCAAAAAGCTATCATTTTAAAAAGCGTAAATTTTGAAATGGTGGCTTTAATACAGTATTTTACAAAACATATGTACAATCAAATGCATTGCCATATTAACTATATATAATCAACATACATTTTATTCTATATATAATACATAAACAAACATTATTGTATTAACTTTTCGATTATAAAGCTTTAATTAAATATTCTACCATGTAAATAATTAAAACCAAATTGACGATAAGTAAAAAATACATTTACTATTATAATGAGCATTAAATAGAAATATATATTGCATTTGTATCTTACCTCCCTTTGCACGAATGTTATGTTTCTGTAGTGAAATCCTTTCTGAATCTGCGAAATAGTCTTAACACTAAGCTAATTTATCATTATTTGGCTATAAGTATCAGTTGTTTTTACTTATATATAACAACGTTCCTTAAGAATGAAATATAAATTTGCATCATAGCACGTGACATAAGCAAGCGTCCACTCAGCAACGTTTTTGAAGTTCCGTGTAGTGTGCATACTGGTACAAGGTCGTTTTCACTTTTTATTCGCTAATTAAAAATGTGACGAACATATTTTTACATGGTAATAAAACAACAACAACAACAAGCCGGATGTGATCGAAAATCCAGCAGCAGATACAACAATAGCAACAAAACAAACGATGTACGTACTACTTATTAAAAGCCATTATATTTGAGCAACACGCGTATGTAAGAAGTGCATTACATGAAGTAATTTGTTGTCTTGTTAATCAAACTTTCTTTTATTGTGTAAATAAATGTTTGACACAGATCCTGATTATGAAATATTTAATATTGAACATTCTAAAAAATAATATCCTGCTAGTGAATATTAATTTTCTATAGTGGCTGATTTATGCCATGTAACTTATACGTATTTTTCTGTTTCTGCCTGACTCCGCGCGGAACAAAAGTACGACACTTTACACATTAGCCACCTTAATATCCTAATTTATTGGTTTATAAGTAATAAACAACTTGATGGATGAAATTCGGTCAAATTACACAAAATATTTTACATTAAAAAATAGCATCACGATTTGAAAAGTGTTACATCCGGTTAAAATAGTTTAGCATTGGCTGTTTCTTTATGCGGTGAACTTCGTATTTATTATTAACTACTTTTTTATCTTTTGTATCAATTCTTAATAATTTTATTTAAGTATGTGGTTTTCATTTAAATGATAGAAATGCATTTTATAATGTTAATGTCCCTTTTACAAGATTATGTACCGTTTAGAAAAATTGTCTAATTTAATTAAAATCAACGTCTTTGACTTCCATACAAAATACTTACTTTCTATGCTTATACAAATTTCTTAAGAGCAAAAGAAGCGAAAGATATATATATATTTTGTTGGAAACTGTTCAAAGTTAAAAAATAAATAGGTTTGAAAAATAATTGGCCCTTAATTAATTTTCAATTATTTGTGCTCCAGTTGTTCTAGTCTACATCAAATCCACTCATTTTACTTGTCTGTACAAACGACGTAAATAAGAAAATCAGGCTATATAATGCACGCTTTCTGGTGCTTTAAATATACTGTCCATATATAAAATACTGGGAGCGGCACCTTTTTTTTTTATAGGTTTACAAGTACAGAGCTATTTTTTCCAAACATTATTACAATTACAACTGAAATAATAAGGCTTTCTTTAACTTCACAAAGAACAAAACCTGTCATCAAGATGTATGAAAGTGTGTAAAAATGATAAACACAACTTTAGGGAAAAGTGTTTATAAATAATAAACACCAGATGCTAAAACAATTCACGATGCTTTACTAAGTACCACAGCAGCGTCAAATACCTACAAATAAATTGAACAAAATTAACATAAATACATTGGTATGTTTTATATTGCTGTTTGTAGTTATTGGATAAACCGATAATCATTTGAGTTCTAGACTGGTATCTTAAGCTGACAGTATTTTAAACAAAAAATGCCAAACAATGTCATAGATGTGTTTTTTAAATTCCTATCCTATCTTTGACAATGGAACACATTCTTGTCGGCTGTTATCCTTTTCATTACATAAATGCAATTTTAGGTGCCTAATTTATTCAGAAGTATTTCAATAGAAGGCTTGGTGCGAAACTGTTGTTTCTAATATAAAATAAAAAGGCGTGTTGACAAGCCTATTAATATGCTTATTTTGACATACGGACATTTGTCGTAACTTATGGGTACTTAATTTGTTACACAGCCACTTTCCCCCATTGTTCTCTTTAACACGTAATTAAAGTTTCTTGCCACACCAGAAGAGCGAAATGAATAGCATCGATTTTGATATCACACAACACATTTTCACATAGCCACTTAGTATCCATTAGTTAACGCTGATAAAATAAAGCTTACAATAACATGATACAGACAACTACTGTCAGACAAAAAAAAACAACGACCAAAAATATCACTATTTCAGTTTAACTACTGAGCATAATGAAACAGTTACATAATAGTGTTTGCGTAATAACAGTTGAACAGAAATGACGAGAAGATAACGGGACATTTAAGAAAAGACAACAAATATGCCTTGAAATGAACAAGACATTCCTTTGATACTTACAGTTACATCTTGGCGGTTTGTAAACCCTTTGCGGTTTAACACGGAATCGCTGTTGAATATAACACAATCAAGTCTGCAATTGTCTTTGTCTTAAATACCTGGGGAAGTATCCTGTTCAAATCAAATAAATCATTAAGTTATTTACCTAAGATCAAATTGTGGTTTAAATAAAGCTACGTTTGATTATGTAAATCAATGTATACATTAACTTTTAAAAGAAATCTACGACAGAAATAAGTAAATAATTTATGGAAGTATCTATTTTAAACGAGCATTTAACAACATTTGTAGTAGAATTTATATGGTCAAAGGAAACAGTCAATCATAGTAAACAGTTTGACTTTTGTTTCTGAAGCGGAATTCTAAAGATTTTTCTATTATATTTATTAAGTTTTATCTCACCTGTGATAATATAATAGTACCCCTTCTGTAAAATAACTCCACAAGCACCATCGTTTGTTGCTGTGGTCAACACCTCCATACCCCTAATTATATAATTATATCTGCTTTTAATCTATATCTAGCCTAGAATTACATTAACTATAGCTACGAATTTTAGTTAAAATCTCCATTGTATAGCATTTTATATGTTAAAAACAATAGGCTTGAAATAAAGGATTATCGTGACAGCATAAAAGGGACTCCACTTTTTGACATGGCGGGACTACAAATGTTTTAGAGATTTAGATTTCCTTTAATGTAGTCTAGACCAGTAAATTATGTTCAAAATTTTTTAGATCATTCGCTCACTCCATTTTGCTAGAATAATTATCATAATTGTGAAAAAATTAAGCAAAATTGAAAAAGCATTGCAATTTAAAAGGACATGAATCCCATACAAATGTAAATGGTCAATGGTCAGGTAAAAATTAAAAAATAACATTTTACCACAATTGTTGTAATGAAAAAGTAATCAAAAATCCTCGTGAACAATGGACATTACTATAAATATTGTTCAGAACAACAACAACAACAACAATTAAACGGTGCATGTACAACACATAAAACGGGAATTATATTTAAGCAACACATGAAGTAATTTGTTGTCTGGTTAATCAAACATTCTTTTTTTGTACACAGATCCTGAATTACAAAATATTTAATGTTGAACATTCTAAAAAATAACAATTATAAAAAATTACTTCACAATAATAGCCTTACGATGTGTAAAATGTTACATCCGGATTTAATAGTTCAACATCGGCTTTTCTGTATGCAATGAACTCCGTATTTGTTATTAACTACCAATTTTTCTTTTTATATCAGTTCTTAATAATTTGGTAAATCAATGGGTTTTTTTTTTAAAAAATGTAAAAAATGCAGTTAATTTTAATAATGTTTATGTCCCTTTGACAAGATGATGTATTGTACAGAAAACTTGTCTCATTTAATTAAAAAATAAACGTCTTTGTAAATTTTAGATTTATATCTGGTTAACTATGTAAATATTTTGAATGTACATTGACAAGACGCGATCAAATGAATCTTACTTCTATGAAATGTGTAAAATGTAATGTTAAACCTGTAAATCATTTCAGAAACAGGTAAGTTAAGTTTGTGTTTAGAAAATATATGATTTCTTTCTATTTGTAGTAGAATATTTAATGTTAAAAATATGTTTGTTAGTTTCACCTGTTTATGAAATAGGAATCATACTTCGTTAATAATGTTGAACCTAAATACACGAAGGACTTGCTGATGAGGAGAAGAAAGTATGCAAAAGTTCGTGAAATTCAGGAATGTCAAGTCCGGTGATTGCAAGTCCGATATATTACATTTGATTTGAGTTGATGGGCAAAACATAGCATCTACGATAGACCGTTTATATAGATTGTTATCGTAGATTTAAATCATTATCAAATCTTAATCAAACAATGTTTGAAAGCTATAGCTTTGTCAAATATTGTATTCAAGTTTATTAATATAATTGGAGAATTTCGCTTGCTTGATTTCAGATATATAATTATTGTTGTTTCGTCGTTTTTGAAATAAAGCGTCAAGTTAACCAGATAATTAGTTTATACGATTTATTTTAGTTCGTGTTGGATGCTATAAGCTAATAGAATAAGGCTCTCGGATCAACAAAGATAAATAATCGACGTTGATGATTTGCTTTCCATATTGACAATAAATCAGGATAATATGACCCTTAATGTTACCAAGGTATTGATCATTTTAATTCTTTTTTAATAATGACTAGGTTATTATATATAACCCCTGTATCATTATCCTTTTATACGAAGTCTGCTTTGTTTAAGCGTAATGTCTATGTACTATGTTCACGTCTTTGATTACACGGCCATTTTTATTCTTATAACAAGTTCGGTTCACTGAAGATTTCCAAAATATGTCCTTTTCGACAGTTTTTGTTTCCTTCTTCTTTCTTTGTTTGAGATGCGGGTACACAGATCAATACGTGTACTTAATCTTAGTATATTCGTTAAAAATTAAGTGTTTTAACCCAAACAAAAAGTTTAAAATGTAATATTAGGTATATGTCAATATTTAATCATGATAAAAAAAACCACATCAATTTCAAGAGAAGTATTTATTTGTTATTGTAGACAATCACTGTTCACTTTGATTTACAAGATCAATGGATTCCTGAAAAAGAAGAAAACAATTTATATAATGTAAAAGAATGCATCTTTCATTTTTAATGAAATAACTTGTACATGTGTCACCCTATTACTTGGGTTCATTCCTACATGAATTTTTCAACGAATAACTATGAATACTAATTTGATATTGCAACAGTATTATCTACTGTTATTGAAGTAAAATATGTCAGAAAAAATCTGACAACTGTCGTCTTTTAAAGTGGTACTGCTTTTTTTTGTTCGAATCATTTATTGATATTTTAGCACTTTTTCAAGAATTAAGCATTTTTGTTATTTCAAACGAACGATTTCATACACCGATAATTACCAAAACTATTGTAATCTCTGATGCTTTCACCAAGCTCAACTATGTTAGATGCCTTGTTATGTATAAGTATTGTCTGTTGACACTAAAATATCCATTTGTACGTACAGACCTACAGATACACTGCAATCGAGACGACCACACTTCTTATCTTACCAACAATTCTTTTTACAAGAAAATGTAATTTCGTTTGAAACTTACAGTAGCACCTCGGTGGTTTGTAAACACTTTGGGGATTGGAACGGAATCGATTCCTGAAATCACAAAGTCCTGTACGCATTTGTCGCCTTCTTCCGCTTTTGCGGTAGTAACCTGTTTAACCATAAAAAATCATTTGCAATTACTAGTACTACAATGAAAATAAGAATTGTAAGTGTGGAAACAAGTAATCGGTGTATAAAATATTGAAATGCAATAACGATTTGATATTTTAGAACCACGTGAAGGACTAATATTACATTTTATGAGCCATTAGCATTGTCCATAACAAAATTATTCTCTGGCTACTCCTTTGTAAATAAGGGATTCCACTGACTCTTTTTACATTACGGGACTGGACACATTTTTGTGTGTAGTAAGGACCAATAAGTCGTGTGCAAAGTTTCAGATAATTACCTAACTGCTTTATTCCAGAAAATCATTTCTGTTGTGCAAAATGATTAAAAAATAAAAATGGTTAAAACACGTTTTATCTCATGTCCGGCTAAAAATAAATCGAACAAAAATCGATTTCATGTTAATTCTTAGAATATTTAACAGACAAGGCTAAATACATGTATGTTGAAACATTTTGCTATGCTTACAAGGGTGATTGGGGCTGGGGAGAGTGAAGCACAGCTTAAAGATAATTTCCAAAAGCATGGTCACATTTGCCACTTACCTGTAAGGACATAATAATAGCCTTTCTGTAAAATGATGCCGCAGGCAGAACCATCTGTAGCAGTGTATAAGTGTCTGACGTCAACACCACCTTGCATCTGTATATTAAAAGTTACGATATTTTACAAACTATATGTTTTACCACCATCCCTTCCGGCAGGTGCAAAGCAATACATTTGGTCATTTACTTGGTTTACTTCACAATAGTTTAATGTAGTATATGAATAATCTAAAGATTTTATTGACAGATCAACGCTATATTTACCGAAGATATTTTGTTTCAATATAAAGTGCTCAGTTTTCTAGTAATTTGTAATAAGGTGACTTTAATATTTAGTGGAACAAATTTCAAGACATGCAATTGGAATACTTCTGATATCAGCACAGGACTTTCTGTATGTTAAAAATCATGAATATAATTTAAGAATGTACTTACATTTGATCTAAATGTAGCGATCAAATTGATCTTATAGACTCTGTCCATACCATACACATTACCATTGTTCAACACCTTTACCAGAACCACTGTATCAAAACATTGTATTTTCCGTTTTTACCACACATTTGATGATCAGTTTTTGGATTGAAAGTTATCAAACATATACACATATGTTGATACAAATTCAGGATCGATATATGTGCAAATATAACTATAGCTATTAAACCTTTTAAACAGAAAATAAAAGACATTGTCTTTGATTTAATTTGCAAACGTACCTGTTTTCTGAAACAATTAATTTTCAACATCTAACGCGTATATAAAACTTTTTTTAATAGATAAAAGATAATAATACTACTACTGTATTTAGTTGAATTATTCAACAATGATAAATAAAAAAATCGACCAAACAATACATTTTATCAGCTTTAATAGACATGACATTTTACAATTTACATTTGATAAAGTTAATTGAATTTCAAAGTAAAATGAGTTTTAATACATACAGAAGTTTGATCTACAATTTTTGTCCTGTATTGAGATGTTAGGATTACATGTACATGCGCTGCCATATTGTACTGTTGTAATAACACCAATAACAAAACATATCAACAGCTTCATTCTGAATAATAAATCTGAAACAGAAATAATAATTTCAAATACCAGTTAAATATATATGTAACTAAATGTATGATTAAAATGGCGATGAAACAAAACTGAAACATTTTCACACTAAAACATGATAATATGTATGAAATGTTCATATCTTTTTAAAATTATGAACGACGAAGGACAATCAAAATTATCTTTATAATACAAATACGGTAGGAATAGAACTGTTCGTGAAATTTAATGTACATTATTTAGAACTCATGAGAGCTACATCTCAAAACATCAGACAAAAAAGTAATTTGTGTTAAACACTACTATAACATTGATATATTAAATTTGTAGAGTTAGTGTTTATCGTTTCGAAATCAACAATGAAATATGATACGTGGTAAAGATTTATTCATTAGCAACAAGATTGAAATCATTTACATTGAATGACCAGTAAAAATATAGCAGCACTGGGATAAGATATGAGGCAAGGTTTGTGTAAGGGTTTACTAACAAAAGCGCGAAAAAGAATCCACTTTAATTCTGCACAACATTTTAGTGTGATTATTACTATTTAAATACTTACAAATTAAAAAAATATTCTTGACCTATTTAGACATTCATAATGTGAAATATACGCCAATAAATTTTTTTTAAAAGTTAACAATAACATTTTCAAAATCAAATCACCGAACATGCCAAAAAAGTATAATTTTAAATATGTATCGGCAACATTTATAACAATCAAACATTGCTTTTATATGAGATAAACATACCTTTAAAAAAGCATGTGCATATGTTACTTTTTTCTTTGTTTTATCGTTCATTTGCTACAACGAGCGTTTTAAATGTAAACAAAATAAAGCTTTTATATTATTTTATGTGAACAAGAAATACGATTAACGTAAAACACGGCTTGTCTTTGATTTACATACAGTGCATATCATGCAAGTTGTTACAACTGTCAGTCATATATTTTTGTTTGCCATCCAGTTGTAATGTTGGTAGTTGTTGTTTGATTTTTAATGAAGTGCACGATACCTGCTGGATAACAAATGTTTACCGAAAATTAAAACGCATTCAAATGCATTTCAACCTATGCACAATATACATGTAATTTATTCATGAAAGTCAGACAAAAATCTTAATAATATCACGAAAAGCTTCGGGCGACTACTTCAAGTAAACACAACATGTTTGATAAGCCTTAAGTTGTTCATGAAAACGTACATAACAATTTCCTAGGAGTAGTTACATGAAATCACAACAATGAATAATTTTTACGTTTTTCTTCGTAAATGTTGAAAGCACTAAGTATCAAAAGTTCCTCGTTAAAGCAACTGACTAGCTTACATGCTTGTTTTATTTAGTCGTATGATATTATTTTAACAGTTGTTAGTCTCTTAAATTACCCAAAGCTGAGCATGGTCTGGCAACAACAGAGTAAGGTTAACATGGAACTGGGATCTTAATTCTATTTGAAAGTCTTCCTAGTTGTTTGTTTTGTTGGATTTTAAGTCAACAAAGTAAAAGATCATACGGAAACTATCCAGCTTTAAGGGAACTGTTGTGGGAAGGCCTCAGGTGCCTATTTGGACGAGAGTAGCCGCCTAAACAACTGTCCGACCGTAAGCGAGTTTGATACTTTCTTTACATGAAAGAAATTTTAGGTCATACGGTGACTATCCAGCTTAAAGGGTACTGTTGTGGTGGGTCTCAGGTGCCTATTTGTGCATGGCGAGAGTAGCCGCCTGAGAGAAACCATCGACCTGCCGTAACCGGGCTTGATATTTCCTTTGCATGAAATAATCTATAATCCCTACTAAAAGGATTTGAACAAATTTAAAGCGGTGAGGGGATGCTGTTTCAATAACATTATGTGTCTTTCCACTGATACATTTATTGTTGTTAATGAAGGCAGTTGTAATTAGTTTTTAAATAAATAAACATAAATGTTGTTTCCAAGTCAAATTAAAGGTGGTGATATTTTGAATAAAATGGAACTTTTTAAATATCAAGGTAAGAATTATTATGCAGCTGGTTTGCTTGCAATTTTAGCAAAATGATGAATATTGATATTGGTTTCAGGAACTTCGGAATCTATTTAATTATTCATGTCCCCGATGGCTTTTTATTTTCTTTTTAATTTTTCTGTTAATAAAATTTTGATCATTTATAGTCACAATATATAGCGGATATGTTTAAATGAATTACTTAATACCTTTGCAATACCACTATATATACAGAAGGTTATAAGCATTCAAAATAATATACAAACATAGTATAACATGCACACCAGTTATTGTAATATTTTATCTCATTTTCATGCGTGAAATGCCCGCTTATTTTCACGCAAACATCCTGTCTGTTTATGGCGTATTTATGCTTTGCTACAAATTATCGCCTAAATATTACATGAAAAAATAAATCTGAATCGGTAATCTAGCGTGAACATTGACAAGTAAATGATTTTATATTATATGTTAAAGTATTATTTAAATCCGGTTCAAAAAGAATGCTATGCATCAAGATGTTATGTTTGGCTCGCATAATTTAGTTTCCTTGTCCATGTTAAACAATGATATTATTTTTAAATAATTATACAAATGCATATGCTGATACTGTATATTAAGAAAACATGTTAGTTACCAGGGGAAAGATATTATAGTTCAACGATAAAGTAAGTATTTGTTTGTAGAAATGTTTCTTATAATATAACTTTGTAATTAAGATAACAGATGCCATTTAACAAACGTACTGTGAAACACGAATAAATGGACAATGTATTCAAAACTAGGAAATGGGTGAGAAAATAGCAGAAAGGTGTCATTGAGAATTAAATAATTGCTGCTGTTGCTGCTGCTTTAACCATTTAATATATTGTTTGGTTAGGTTTTACATCGCACCAACATAATAGTGGTCATATGGCGATGTTCCAAATTTACTGGTGCAGAAGATTCTATATATCATTACTGGTACTAAGCCAACAATAAATACTTTCACCGACATGAGTAAACTTGAAAAAATAACAGCTTAGGCGCTTAGATGAAGACAACGTGGTCGTAAAAAGTTCAACGTTCTGACACAGAAATGGAGAATTATTTCATCTGAACACGTACATTTGCTCGCAAGGTGTTTAGGTTAAACTTTGCCAAAGATGTTATTCTAAGCAAATATATAATATTCTAATATGGAACTAATAAACCAGTAACAGATATAACTATTAAAAAAAATCAGTGTAAATTATCTGATGAATCGCCAGAAAGTGAAAAATTAGTGCAAACAATGTTATTAGCTAATGTTGCACAAATTGGTATAAGCCGATCATAGGTTGGCTGATCAAAATTAAGATGCTGGATGTAACTATCAGTAACGAAAAGATAGAAAATAGAAAGAAAGATATAAAAAGCAGTGAAGAAAGAATTACATTTATGTCAAGTAGTACAACTTAGTTTATGATTGATGATATAGAATACAAACAAATTTTTCGTGTTTGACATATGATGATGAAATGAATAGCTGAAGCAACTGACTGTCAAAGAAACAACCTCTGAGAAAGTAGTCCCCAGAATAATAATGAGTATTGACTACGCCCTCTTTCATATTTGACCAAACAAGAGCTGTCAAGCATGAAACGAATGCCACCGAATAGGTTTCTTAAGCATGCAGGGATTATGAATAGAAAAAAGAATAAAAGTAACTAATTGCTTTATATTGTTCTTGTGAAATGAAATGCTATTTACCTTGGGAAAAGGGTCTTGGATGTGACACATCATCTTGATGTGGTAGACATTAATGCCAAGTGATTTTAGTGCATGCCAATCTTACAGTTTGGATCTACTGGGTACCTTCAAACTCTTTTAATGAGCATAAGTACCTTCAAACTATCTGAGTGACATTGACCTTGGAGCTAGGAACATGAGTCTTACACACAACACGTCATCTTGATGTGGTAGACATTTGTGCCAAGTTATCTTAAAACTCTTCAAATCATGACAAAGTTACAGTCCAGACACGAATGTGTGTACTGTGTAATATCTAATTGTGATAGCGTGAACCTTCAAAATATAAGTGTGACCTTGACCTTTGAAGAAGGAACGTGGTTCTTAAACACAACACAACGTTGTCATGTGAGAGAAATTTGTGCCAAGTTATTTCAAAATCCCTCAATGCATGACACAGTTACAGTCTAGACATGATTGTTGTGTAAGTGGGGACGTACGGACGGACAGTAGCCGCGACACATCGTTTTTGATGTGGTAAACATTTGTGCTAAGTTACTTTAAAAATCCTTCCATGCATGACAAAGTTACAGTCGTCCATACATGAATGTGTATCTTCTCAAGAGAATGGTTACATTCAAACTATAATCTATGATCTAAACCTTTGAGGTAGGGACCTGATTCTTAGACGCGACACATTGTTTTGACTTCGTAGACATTTATGCCAAGTAATTATTAAATCCTTCCATTCATGACAAAGCTACAGTCTGGACACAAATGTGTGAAACTAACTCTTATTGTGAAAATGTGAAACATCAAAATGTTATTGTGACCTTGACCTTTGAGGAAGGGACGTAATTCTTGGACGCGCCACATCATTTTGATATGGTAGACATTTATGCCAAGTTATTTTAACATCCATCGATGCATGACAAAGTCACAGCCAGGACACGGTTTTGTGTACCTATTAACTCTAATTGTGAAAATGTGCAACTTAGTGTGACCTTGACCTTTGAAGTAGGTACGTAATTCTTTAATACGACACATTGTCTTGATGTGGATAACATTTATGCTTAGTAATTTTAAAATCCTTTGATGTATGACAAAGTTACAGTCCGGTCACGAATGTGTGTATCTATTAACCTTAGTTGTGATAATGTGAAACTTCAAAATGTTAGTGTGACCTTGACCTTTGAGGTAAGGACCTAATTCTTGGACGCGACACATCGTCTTGATGTTGTAGACATTTGTGCTAAGCTTTTTCAAAATCTCTCAATGGAAGACAACGTTACAGTCAGGATAAGAATGAAGTTGGGACGCACAGACGGACAGACAGACAGACTGACAGACGGACGGTGCGATTTTAATATGCCGCCTTTCGGGGGCATAAAATCACTATATTTTATTGGTCAAATTAAATGAAACAAAATGTTAACTCTGAAATTCCATATGTAAATTATACTACTTGTAATCTGATCACTGCGATGGTAAGCTGCACTATTAAAAACACGTTAATAGCCCTATAATGAGGTCATGTACAGATATTCATTCAACATAACTTTTTTTGAGGCGCCAACTGGGTAACCCCGTTTATTTGCCCCTTAATAGAAAAGGTATGAGAGGGTCGGGGTCATCCCCCTGATACCTTACATGATATATACATAATATAACAATCATCATCTAGTCATAAATAAATATAAAAATAATACAAAAAGTGTGATATACATTATATTCAAATATTCAATCATTCAATCGATATTCACATAATGAGTACATGTAAAACAATTGTGTATGATTATGTATTATGCAAAAAATTAACAATATTGTTCAAAATTGGTTTGTGGTAAATAAATTTAGTATACCCAATTTAGTTAATTAAAGTGCCATCCTTCAGCCACATGTTTGGTCAAAATTGTATTTTTGTAAATATTTCACGCCAATTCAAGACTGTTTCTAAAAACCAATAAATGTAGGTAACATGTATTTTTTTCTCATATATATGAGCCGTGACATGACATTTCCAACATAGTGGTCAAATTTGACATTTTACTTTTTTTCAAAGATTCTCAAAATGTATTATTTTCTAAATCATTCAAGACAAATTTGATTATTTTTGGACAATGAAAACTTGGTTTAAGTTGTAAATACTTTGCGACGTCGTTTTCTTTGGCGTCAGAGACGACCTCATTCAAAAATGCTACATCACACGGATTAAACTGAATCATCGTTTTTCTTGACATATACTCCTACATGTATAGAAGTATTTTAGTGCACAAAACGCATGCAAAATTTGATACTGAAATTATGGACAAGGTAGCTCACATTTTTTATAATGACTTTATTACACAAACTTTGTTCAAGAGTACCATATCAATTTTAAGCCATCTAAAGTTCATGTAACGACTTGTTGCACGGTCGGACAAAAAGAGATATAAGTACGCAAATACGCTAAGTGGCGGTGGTATATTTGGCTTTTCTTCACTAGCTCACGCAGTATCCGTGTAACGTAGGATTGTCAACATTCTGTTTGTATAACGTAAATGACGTGTCGTTAAAATATATGCACGACCATGCAATTATGTTTTTACGGTGTCGCAAAGTCGGCAAGGGTATGTAAAAATATCGAAATACCGTTACCCCCATTTTTAAAGCTTGTACAGTCTAGATTTTAGATGTTACATTTTGATTTATTACCATACCAGAGTAGACTAACACTGAAACATAAAAATCGACCTGAATTTTAGAGACAATTTTACATATGAAACATGTTGGTTTTCTTACAGCGGTATAATATTTGTTTGAATTGAAAATATTTTCTTCTAATGGAGTTTTAGATATAGTTAACATACCTGTATAGTCTCTTATAATTTGCAAATCAAGTATCTACAAATTTTATTTATTTGTTTAGAGTTATCATTGTGGAGAAAATTGTTTATTTCTTATCGCAGTTACTATCCCCACCGAAAAGGTGGCGGGGGATATAGAAATAGTCTCCGTCCGTCCTTCCGTCCAACATTTTTATCCGGAGCATAACTCAAAAGTATTTGAGGTATCTACTTGAAACTTCATATGTGGATAGATCATATTAAGAAGGAGTGCAGTGCATAAGAATGATAACTCTACTCTTTATAATTTTTGAGTTATTGCCCTTATTTTTCATACTTTTTGTCCGAGCGTATCTCAAGAAGTATTAGAGGTATCAACTTAAAACTTCATAGGTGGATATATCTCATTAAGGAGGAGTGCAGCAGAAAAGAATGATAACCTACCCTGCATTATTTGTCAGTTATTGGCCTTTGTTATGTTTTATACTTAAGTTTTGACTAGAGCATAACTAAAGAAACCTTAGAGATATCAACATGAAACTTCATAGGTGGATATATCTCAATCAGGAGGTGTGCAGTGCACAAAAATGATAACTGTACCCTTCATAATTTTGAGTAATTGCCCTTTGTTATTATTCATACTTTTTTCACCTGAGTGGAGCATAACTCAAAAGATCTTTGAGATGTCAACATGAAACTTCATAGGTGGATAGATCTTATTAAGGAGGAATGATGTGCGCAAGAATGATAACTCTACCCTTTATATATTTTGTCCGGAGTTTATCTCAAAAAGTATTACAGGTATCAATTTGAAACTTCATAGGTTAACAGATCCCAATGAGAAGTGCAGCGCACAAGAATGATAACGCTACGTGCATATTTTTTTCAGTTATTGCCCTTTGTAATTTTTCATGCTTAGTTTTTGCCAGACAACAACTCATTAAGTATTTACTTTATGAAGTTTTCACTTGAAACTCAAAATATAACTAAGTGTCCGACCGTCATTTCATCCGTACGGACGTCCATTTGATAACGCTACCGTGCATATTTTTTCAGTTATTGCCCTTTGTAATTGTTCATGCTTATTTTTTGTCCAGACAATAACTCATTAAGTATTTACTATATTTACTATATAAAGTATTCACTTGAAACTCAAAATATAACTAAGTCTCCGATCGTCCTTCCAGCCGTACGTCCGTCCATTTGCCGTCCTTCTGTCCCACATTTTTGTCCGGAACAAATCTCAAAAAGTATTTTACGTATCAACTTGAAACTTCATAGGTGGATAGATCATATTGAGGAGGATTACAGTGCGAAAAATGATAACTCTACCCTTTATAATTTTTTGAATAATTGCCCTTTGTTATTTTTCAAACTTACTTTTTGTCCAGAGCATAACTCAAACAACCTTTGAAATATCAACATGAAACTTTATAGGTGGATATATCTCACTCAGGAAGTGTGCAGTGCACAAGAATGATAACTATATTCTTCATAATTTTTTGTTAATGCCTTTTGTTATTTTTCATACTTAATTTTTCACCTGAGTGGAGCATAACTCAAAACGTCTAAAAGATGTCAACATGAAACTTCAGAGATGGATTTATCTTTACTCAAAACGTCTTAGAGATGTCAACATGAAACTTCATAGATGGATTTATCTTATTGAGGAGGGATGTTGTGCGCAAGAATGATAATTCTACCCTTTATAATTTTTAGTTATTGCCCTTTGTTATTTTTCATACTTTTTGTCCGGAGTTTATCTCATAAAGTATCAACTTGAAACTTAATAAGTGGATAGATCTCATTGAGGAGTGCAGCATATACCCTGCATTAATTTTCAGTTGTTGCCCTTGGTTTTTATTCAGCCTTCAAATCTGTAATCACTTCAGCTATCAGTTTTCATTACCAGCAGACCTCTTAACATTGAATTATTCTGCTCTACTATAATACATTCTTCCAATGAGCAAACACATTCGGCGGGGGATGGCCATGTTCACATCTTCACTCTTGTTGCCTTTGAGTCAAGAAATATGCTTTAAAGAACAAAATACACAATGCATTTTAGGACTTACAAGGAATCATTAAGTAATACGTAAGCCGACAAAGCTTTACTCCCAACGCCATTAGTGTTATACTCTGAGTGATATGGGTTTTATCTCACGAAATAAAAACCCAGACTTTCACTTATTAGAATAAACTATTACAACGACTTGTTAGAGTATATCTAAATAAAAACCCAGACTTTCACTTATTAGCATAAACTATTTAAACGATTTGTTAGTGTACATCAAAATAAAAACCCAGACTTTCACTTATTAGCATAAACTATTACAACAACTTGCCTGAGTTCATCTAAAATAACAACGCAAAATATTGACAAAATAAAATATCACCACATATCTACTGCGTCATTAATGCAGTAGGGGCTATTTTGCATATTTTGACATCTGTTTGATAATTTACGTGGATTTTAAGTGCCGTATGCAATGTGTAATTTACTTCCTTTGTGCACTTCACAATATTTTACTTTAATATACATTTTCCTAACTGTTACGAAAATGAATATGGATCTTGGGGCATGTTGCTTGCATTATGTTAAATGATATAACGTGAAGGAAATTTTTTCCCCCTTAGTTTCAAATAAAGCAGGACCAAATTGGAGGAACTGTTACACGAAGGATGGGGTTCTTATGATAACTTGTTTTGAGTTCTTATTATAACTGTCACGGAGTTCCGTCGTGTAACCATTCCTTCCCCGTGATCTTACGCATTCATCCACTTCACTTAAAAATTGTCGCTCAATTATATACGCTTGTTTGGAGTGACCGTTATAAAAACAATGATATCAATGTGATGTGATATCTTTCTTATTATACTTACATAAAGGTATAAGATGTATAATTAACATTTTTTCAAAAAGCGTTTAAAACCTTATATTATATTATAAAATATTCTAGACATAAATGCCAAAAAAAAACAACAAAAGTTTACCATCTTGTTTGAAAAATATTGACAATTGAAGTTCAACTTTTGTATCGGTTTTATACAACATCAGCAGCAGCAGCAGCAGCAACAACAACAACAACAACAACAACAACAACAACAACAACAACAACAGCAATAGCAACAACAACAACAACAACAACTACTACTACAATGTTTTCATTTTCTGTAGTTAATTTTCACTTACTTCATATTTTCCTTACTTGAAAATTGATAATAAAGAACTATAGTTGTTTGTTCAATAATTTCAAATAAATCAATGTAAAAAGTATATGAAAAGATTTATTTTGTTTATGGAGACAGGTACCTAACATTTTACATCAAATAAGAAGAGCGTAGGGTAAAGAAACCCGTCAGTTTTTGTCAAATATAATCGGGGCATCAAAATATCTTTAAAGAATAATTATCTAGATACTATCCTTAACATTTGAGTAAAATATATAAAGAAAGTTTACCATGCTGATTTTAAATTATAATCATTTTAATTCGTTATGCTTTCCAAATCACACATTTCACAGTAAAAAATATACATAAAACTTCAAATATTTTTAATTACAATTTTTAGATATAAGTTTATAATCGGACAAAATAAAAAGAAAAAAAAGACAAAAATTGAAACAAGAAATGTCGAACGACACATGCCCCCCATTTCTAGCCCTTGACAAATATTATTGGTAATTTTGCTATAGAAACTTGCCATAAATGGGTAGTCTACATGAAAGTGTTCAGTTATGGAAAAAAAATTATAATGACCTGCTAGTTATAACTAATCAATATGTGAAATATAAAGAGCTTGACCTTTGAACTAGTAGCCCCATTATGACTAATTACTATTTTAAAAATGAAGACTTTGTGATAATAAAATTTTTCAAGGTAATAAGCAGAAACCATATTTACATATAAGGCCCCTGTGACCTTGACCTTTGAACTAGGGATCCAAAAATCAATAGGGGTCATCTACTATATATGGCTATTCAAAATGTGAAATATGAAGACTTTGTAATAAATTATTTTCAAGATAATGAGCGGAAATCATTCTGACATTAAAGACACCTGTGACCTTGACCTAGTTACCACAAATCAATAGGGGTGATCTTATATTTATGACCAATCAATATGTGAAATATGACTTTGTGATAAATAATTTTCAAGATAATAAGCGAAAACCATTCTGGCAGTATTGATCCCCGTGACCTTGACCTTTGAACTAATGACCCCAAAATCAATAGGGGTTATCTACTAGTTAAGACCATATACTATGTGAAATATGAAGAATTTGTAATAAATAGTTTTCAAGATTATATTTAGCTGAAACTAATCTGACATTTAAAGCCCCTTTGACCTTGACTTTTGAGCTAATGACCCAAAAATCAATAGGGGTTATCTACAAGGTCTGACCAATCACAATGTGAAATATGAAAACTTTGTGATAACTAGCTTTCAAGATAATGAGCCGAAACCGTACAACTATTCAATGCCTCTGTGACCTTGACCTTTGACCGAGTGACCCCAATGTCAATAGGGGTCATCTACTAGTTATGGCCAAATTAGAAGACTTTGTGATAAGATAATGAGCCAAACCATTTTAACATTTATGCCCCCTGTGACGTTGACCTTTGACCTAGTGACTCCGAAATCAATAGGGATCATCTACTAGTAATGACCAATTAAAATGCCAATATGAAGAGATTGTGATAAATAGTAACCGCGATAATGAGCGGAAACCATTTTGACATTTAAGGCCCCTGTGACCTTTGACCTAGTGACCCCAAATCAATAGGGGTCATCTACTATATATAATCAATCACTATGTGACATATGAAGACTTTATGATGATTAGTTTTCAAGATAATCAGCGGAAACCATTTGACATTAAAGGCTCCTGTGACCTTGACATATAACCTAGAGACCCAAAAGCAATAGGTGTCATCTACTAGTTATGTCCAATCACTGTGTGAAATATGAAGACTTTATGATGAATAGTTTTCAAGATAATGAGCGGACCATTTTGACATTAAAGGCCACTGTGACCTAGACTTTTGACCTAGTGACCCAAAAATCAATAGGCGTCATTTACTAGTAATGACCAAATACTATGTGAAATATGAAGACTTTGTGATGACTAGTTTTCAAAATAATCAGCGGAAAGCATTTTGACATGAAAGGTCTCTGCGACCTTGACGTTTGACCAAGTGACCCAAAAATCAATAAATGTTTATTTTGGTGATTTTTTTTCCTTACATACAACTGATGTGTGCACTGTTTAAAAACTGCACAGCTCTGATTGGAAAAACACGCGTCGCATAATTAAAAACATTTGCGTCAACTTTGACGTCATGTCACGGCTCAATTTCCTTTTCCATTCTAAAATACAAAATATCATACTTATAATCATTTACCTCATGACCTAAAATAAATGATTTACATTTAAAAATGTCATAAAAATTATCTATATTGTCTTTCAGATATTGAAATAAAGATTGAATTTTTGGACATTCCCAAAATAAATGCAACAGAGTTTCCTCTTGACAATTGCAAAAAGTACACATTTTACCATAATTAACACTTTTCATTTGGAACAAAAGTGAGATAGCTGTTACAGTTCTATGAATTATTCTTGTCTGGAACCACTGAATATAGGAATCTTTGGTACATTTAACTATATATTAAATGCCAATATATATCATCCTTTTTTTTGTAAAATATGTGTTCCATTTTTCTTGACATGTTGGCACACCTTTATTTCTAACACGTTTCATAAACATATTTTTCGTATTCTTATTTAGTGTAATAAGAATAGGTTTGAGATAACACTTCGAAATAGATTGAACATAAATAAAACATTGCAAATAGAAATGTCAAGCCTTTGCATGTAAAATATTCTTGCTTTTTTTCTATCTATTATATTGTAAAAAGTTGACTTGTTTTTGTGTAACCTGCTCCAAGTAACTTAAATATACAAAATCCCTTTGATAATATCATTAACAAATCTGATTCCTTTTTTTTTTTTTATAAAAGCTTTGAATATAAAAGTGTCTATTTCCTGCTTACAAGTTATGATTATAAAGTAAAGACATGTGTAACATTTGTTCTATAGTATCTATTCAAAGTTTATCTGTAAAAATCATATAAGCTTTTATAACATCTATTCAACAGGCATTTTAATTGTATCAATTGGCTAATTACAAAACAATTTATCTGTGCAAAACACTTTATCAATATTTAATAAAGCCATCACTAGCTTATACATTTACTGCTATTACATGTATTACTTACATATATTTAAAATCATTCTATCTTTACAGAATGTATATAACTGTCAATATCAATCGTATTTAGACCACCTTCCTTATATGTTTTGATAACAACAGATTGCTTTATCTTTGCTTTACCTTCCCATATAAAATCATTACATAAGGCATCAAGTGTTTTCAAAATACTGAATAAAGTGTAGGTAAACTTTTGAAACAAAGAGTAAATAGTTATTTTTCCTATTGGTGTTAATATTCTTTTTTCCAATGACCTATACTATTTTTGCTTTCTGAAGTTTTTCATAAATATTTTACCATTTTCTCTAAATCAGCATCAAATATCAAATCTAACAATTTAACTGTGTATCACCCCATGTCAGTTACCATTTTGTCTTAATGGATCTTGTACTGTACTTAAGAGAGCCTATCCAAATAACTTTAGTTTGTTAAAATTTACTTATAATCCAGAAATCCCTGAAAACATATCTAATAACTTTAAAACAGTATTAATCAATTTAGCAAAATTGAAGTACTAGTATTATCACCAAATTGTGTAATTTTATATTCCTCCCTATCTGTATCTATACCTTTAGCATGTTTACACTGTCTTATTTTTATTGCTAAAATCTTAATAATATGAAGATATAAAGGTAAATTGGATCGCCTTGCCTACAACCTCGTTAAACTTTGAAAATATTTTATAAAAAATCACACGTTTAAAATAACACCAGTTTCAGTATTATATAAAAATAGGACTAAGTGAAAAAAAGAATGCATGTACAGATATTCATTCAACATAACTTAGATTCTCAAATATAATGATACGTAAGTTTTATTTTTTTTCTAGTTCCAGTTTAAGTATCATACTGTTTTGTTTTTTAACATAATTGAAGAATTAATCGATGATTTAAGCCAATTTCCATTTCTTCCTAATAATGAGTATGTTCTCATTGTATGTTTAAATGATTACACAATCAGACTAGTTACACGAGAGAAAGAGCTTTCCATGTCTTTTGTACATGTTTTGACAAATTGTCTCCATATTTAACAAGCACTGTAAAGTCAATAACTTTGTCATGGTCTTCAGGCTTTCCGATATTTCGATAGTGATGCACTAGTGCAAGTTCAGGAGGCACAATAAATATTCTTCCGCGTGGAATCTCATGCACATTTCCAAACTCAACAACTTCTGCTCGGGCAAAATATTTTGAGCGATGGTTAGGCGGCCATATTTTTTTCTCATGTTCGAAATGGGTAAGTGTTACTAGATGGTACTTTTCTGCAAAACGTTTCTCAGAAAAATTTTGATTATTCAAGATCCAGTCTAATCGAAAGAAAGAGTGTCTCACAACGTAACCGGCATAGTTTTTGTTAAATTTATCGATCAGCTGTGACCAAGTAATGATGTCATTAGAATGAGGAATGATGTATTCATCTTTATCAATATTGACGATGAATTCCGAAACATTTTTATTTCTGAAAATACAATCATTTATAGCTGCCTTTTGAGCAAAATATTCAATATTACGTTCAATATCAGGAAATGGTATATTCCATTGAATAACGTCAATTAAACCTAATTTCAGGTAATACTTAATGGCATTATTAACGTTTACACCTGTGGAGTAGTTATAAAAAACAAACTTTTCAGCACCAAGAATTCTATTTAGTTCAACCCACTCGACCATCTGGAAAATGTCATCATATTGAAACACTGGTGACAAACATACAGTAAAACGACGCTTATATCCATCTGGTTTTGAAGCATCACGTACTTTTAAAAGATTTCTTGGGGTTTCACAGGAAGTCATCACAAGGGAGACGTACTCGGGTTGTTTTTCTGTCGTTTGCACTTTACATTCATAGATTGTAGATGTGAAACTGAAAAAAGAAGAAAAAACTAACTGGCTATACAGTTCATTTTCAAACAACCGAGTGATTATTTATAAGAAATTACTTCAAAAACAATAATTAACATATCATGCAACTGCCATGGTTACTGCCCAATAACGCTAGCCGGAAATTATTTTTGATATCAGGTTAGTAACTTTGATATCAAAATGAAGCTTCTTCCATTGCAACGGACTTTTATTTTCAAAAGATTATAGTCTCATTTTCCCAAGGGGTGTCACGGTGGAAAATAAAACGCTAAACGTTTAAACGAAGACCAGATAACTGTGTTATACGTTTAACCGACCGTACTCATAAACTCCTTAGATTTTCAACATTTACATTGTTTCTTTGTGACAAGATATGAAATTTTGTTTGCATTTTTTGTGCAATATGTAGTCAGGGTCATACCGTACTCGATCAGATCGGAAAAAATACCTTGTTGAATACTTATTCAAAATCGATATCTACATAATAATACTACATGTACTTATTTATACTATTACCTATACTGTAAGTGGATGTAATACGTCATAATCTCGGTCTCGTCTGTCTCGCGAGAGTGAAAGAACGCCAATATGGCGGCGCCCATGAACTTATTTCTTAAGTAAACTAAAACTCCGCGAGTCGGGTGTGTCGCCTTGTGAACAATATAGTTTAGGAGAATTGGCCAGGACAAAAATGAAATTTGAAAATCAACAAAGGGCAATAAATAAACAAGAGCCCGGTTTGACCCGGGTGATGCTCCCCGAATAGATTTTGGACACAGGAAAGTACACCTCTTGTAGTTTCAGAGTTATGTCCCTGGAAAGAGTTCAAAGTGCAATAATTCGAAAACTAGGAAAGGCAGAGTTACTGTTCTTTGCATCCTAATCACTGTTATCAATCAACTTACAAAGTTTCTTGTTGATATCTCTTATGGTTTCCGAGTTATGTTCCGGACAACTTCAAAAAGTTAAAAATAAACAAAGGGCAATAACTCCAGAATTAGGCAAGGCAGAGTTATGATTCTCGTGCACTGCACATCTACCCATTGAGATACATCTACCTGCAAAGTTTCATGTTGATATCTCTTATAGTTTTACAGCTATGTCCAGTACAATATTTTTCTAAAAGGGGAGATAATTCAAAAATGACGCTTAACAGAGTTATAGTTTTTTTTGCACTGCACTAGTACTTCCACTCAATGATATCTATCTACCTACAATGTTTCATCTTGATATCTCTTATAATTTTAGAGTTATGTTCCGGACAAAGTTCAGTGTTAAAATTAACAAAGGGCAATAACTCCAAAATTAGGACAAAAAGAGTTATTGTTCTTATGCACTGCACATTTACCCTTTGAGATCTATTCACCTACAAAGTTTCATGTTGATATCTCTTATAGTTTTAGAGTTATGCCCCCAACAAGATTTTTCTATAAGGGGAGATAATTCAAAAATGAGGCTTAACAGAGTTATGATTCTTTTGCACTGCACTTCTACTCAATGAGATCTGTCTACCTACAATGTTTCATCTTGATATCTCTTAAAGTTTTAGAGTTATGTTCCGGACAAAGTTCAAAGTGTTGAAATTAACAAAGGGCAATAACTCCAAAATTAGGACAAAAAAGTTATTGTTCTTATGCACTGCACATCTACCCATTGAGATCTATTCACCTACAAAGTTTCATGTTGATATCTCTTATAGTTTTAGAGTTATGCCCCGGACAAGATTTCTCTATAAGAGGAGATAATTCAAAAACTGGGCAGAACAGAGTTATGGTTCTTTGACACTGCACTCCCCTTAATGCCTTCTACCACTGTATGAAGTTTAAACAAATTATCTCCAAGGGTTTTCAAGTTATGCTCCGGACAAGAAAACGGACGGACAGACGGACGGACAGACGGACAAGGCGCCGACTATATGCTCCCCCGAAATTTTTCGTGGAGCATAAAAATAACAAATGCAGAGCAGCAGTTTCTGTGCACTGCACTTCTTATTAATAAGATCTATCATCCTATTAAGTTTCAAGTCTAAAGCTTTTATAATTTATGAGAAATGGCCTGGACAAAAATAAAGGCAATAACTAAAAAATAAGAATGCAGAGTACCAGTTCTTGTGCACTGCACTTCTTGTTAATGAGATCTATCATCCTATGAAGTTTCATGTCCATAGCTTTTATACTTTAGGAGAAATGGCCCGGACAAAAATAAAGTATGAAAATTAACAAAGGGCAATAACTCAAAAAATAAGAAGTGCAGAGTGCCAGTTCTTGTGCACTGCACTTCAGGTCATTGTTAGAAGCATGCATACCAAGTTTGAAGTCAATCCGACTTATAATGACTGACTTATACTCCGGACAAGCTTAAGGGGACGCCGACGCCGACACCGACAACGACACCGACAACGACAACGACGCCGACAACGACGCCGCCGACAAAAGTAACCCCTATATGTCGCGTTTTTCAAGGCGACACAAAAATAGTGTCTTAAAACACGAATTTCTCAGTTATACGGTTGATTTCAACAGAAAAAAACTGTCATTGTACCTCTTTTAAATGATAAATATTTATACGATAAGACAGACATCGACATATCCATTCCTATTCCCTTTAAATATTTAAAGAAAATAAGGTAATGTTTAGAATCAATTTAAAAGTTGTTCTCCTCTTTCAAATTGTCAAATGCCAACCTCGGTTACCGCTTATTGAATTTTCTAACCGGTTTTTAGCTAAAAATCGACCGTACTCGTTTAAACGGATAAACGTGACACCCCTAATTCACACCGTACAATCAAATGGGCAGAGAGCCGTTCAACCGTCGACAGCCGTACCAGTATTTACATGTCGTCGCAGAAAAAACAATTGACGGACGGTAAGTATCCATCTATTTTTAACATATCCCAACTGTGTTCTTATAAATTCATAGTCAACATTTAAAGGAGCATGCTTACAAATTTCTGGCCATGTGCAAGCTTTACTTCATGTGAATTTTGACTGAAAATAACCAAATAACTTTCCGATGAGATACGGCATTTCAGTATGCTACGGTGGCATAAAAGTGACATTTGCAATTTTTTTTTTATACTTATTTTTTTTTTGTTTTTCGTACATGTTTTTGGTTTTGTTTTGCATACATATTTTTTTTTGCATACATGTTTAATTTTAGTTTTGCATACATATTTCATTTGAGTATTTCGTACAATTTTTTTTTAGTTTTGCATACATATTTTATTTAAGTTTTACAAACATATTTTATTTTAGTTTTTCGTAGATATTTTATTTTTGTTTTTTTGTACATATTTTTACATGACGCCATTTGCAAAGTAGAGGTTTGGACAGTTACGCCATTTGTAAAACACCAAAACACTTCGCCATCTGTAATTTACCGTACCCCATTTGCAAACGCCATTTGCAAATACCAAAATTTTCATTTTTGGAGTCATCAACAAAAAAACAAAACAAAAAAAAACAACAAAAAACAAACAGTTTTTAGTATATATACACATAAACATATATACATAGTCCGCGGTGACGCAAAGAAAGGTTCTGCATATTGTCTCGATGTGGTTAACGTTGACTCAAGGTACATGAAAATCTTTCATTGGGTTTAAGAGATGAGGAGCGGGCATGAAACCCAAGTCACAATTCTTTGACCTGTATGTGTGACCCCGACTTTGAGCCGGCACACCTGGCATATAAGTTCTGCACATTATCTGGATGTGCCAAGTTTCATAAAAATCTTCAAAGCTTCAAGCATTTTTTCTAAACCAGTGGGATTATAAGGACCTATTTAGATCTTTTATCGTGCATTATTGTAATACACCAGTCATTTTAACCACCTCCCTCGCTCGGTTAAAAAAGAATCGTGTTTTGACGTTTGCGTTGTTCAGGGGCTTAAGGCAGGAATGTTTACGCGTCACGTGATCAAGTGAGAAAGTCGGTAAAAATATCTGGGTTGAAAAATTGATTTATGTGGATTTAAAGGATTATAAAATTCATTTTGACTTGGAATTTATAAAGTGTTAAAACTGTGAGCTTGTGATGAAAATTTCATGGGGAAAAAAACGGAATAAGACTGAAAAGAGGAAAAATAGCAGTGAAGGAGATAACAATGGACACACACTAAAGGCGGGAAGGTACAGGTCAAATTCGGGTTCACATTCTAGTTAAAATTCTAGTCAATTATTACTGAGTGAAGTTTTGAATCAAGCCAATAGTACTTTATATGAAAAGGATAATCTTGCAGATAGTGTCTTTGACCACACACTATATCACACAAAATGTCCAATTACGGAAAATAAACCATTAAACTCTGAAAATTGCAGACCAAAATCAAAGATGGACACGATCAATGATGACATTTTATCCTATTTAAAGAAATTTGACACTAAAATTACAAATGTGGATACAAAACTCCAATGTCTTGAAAGAAAAGTTGATAATTTTGACCAAGAACTGAAAAAATATGGGTTAAACTACATGACATGGGCATAGCTATGAATGAAAGAATTACCATTGTGGTACTAGATAAAACGAAATCTATTGACTTCGTACTATCACAAACTACAAGCAAATTAACATCACTAGAAAAACAGAGAGATGACCTACATAACGAGGTGACCTAATTACAAGCACAATTAATGCGAAATAACCTCGTTTTTACTAATATCCCAGAGGCCCTTGAGGAGAAAAACGAGGACACAGAGGTAAAGTTGAATCCTTTCCTCTTTTTTGTGTTATCCCTGGTATTGGTGGGCACTACATGGCTCATATATTTATATTTTGTCGTATACTTATTTCATGTGATATTTCTAGTCTCTTTAATATTTTGATTATTGTTATATGTATTGTATCATTATGCATCATTATGTCATTGCCATGTCATGTACACTTTTACCGAATAAAATTATTATTATTATTATTATAAAGTTGAGATCATTTCTCGTTGACAAAATGAAAATTGCACAAGATCTAGTTAATAAATTATCATTTGAAAGAGTGCATTGC